TCCTCCCACCCCCTCGGCTTTGCTAAGGTTTTCAGGCTTGCCAATACTTTCATTGTCTCAGGGAATTGGGTTCCTCCCCTTGACCCACCACGCCAGGAGGGCACGCACGTCTTTTTTGTTTTGGCCCCCCCCCCCCCCCCCCCCCCCTCCCCGTCCCCGCGATTTCAAGCAATCTAGCTTGCTCAAGGGTAGCTTCTGCCCGCCTGGGCTTCTTGCGTGGGGGCGGCACAGGTATTAGCAGAGTAGGTGAGCTCAAGCATCAGGTCATGGTTTCACATCTTGCTGGCCCAGGCACATTGAGATGGGATCCTACAGCCGGGTTCTCACAGTGAACCATGCACCCCGGATGCACTGTGGCATAGTTTCTGGTTTAGGGTTCGTAAGTTGCGGGCTTTCGGGTTTTCCTGGTGTGTAACCACTGGGCCTTGAGAAAGCACGGTCTAGAAGAAGGGCCCTGAAACCCCCTAAAGCCGTGAAGCCCAAACCCTAAACCCTGAAACCCCAAACCACGAAGCTGAAGCCCTCAGCCTAAACAGCAGCTCAGTGCAGGTACTCAACATGATCCTCGATTTCCAAGCAACAGGAGACTGGCGAGGCGTTTGCGAGCGCTGCGTCCCAGGACGGAAGGCAGCTTGGCACCAGTCCCCAAAGACCCCGAAAAAGCTCGACGTTACAGCAAGGGCTACGAAAGTAGGAGAGCACATCAGAATTATGAGAACCACCCCTCCCTTGCATCCCTCAACCCCCCCCCAACCCCCAACCCCCAACCCCCAACCCCCAACCCCTCCCAACCCCCAACCTCCCGACCCCCAACCCTCCCGACCCCCAACCCCCCAACCCCCACCCCCAACCCCCAACCCCCAACCCTCAACCCTCAAACCCCTCAACCCCTCAACCCCTCAACCCCTCAACCCTCCAACCCTCAACCCTCCAACCCTCAACCCTGCATGAGCCAACACTCCCAGGTAGCCCTTTAAGTGCCCCATTATGGCTATCATTGGGTGATTGCGTACAGTTCTGATTGGGTTATTCAGTTATTAAGTACCATGAACCTAACTTAAGGTATTAGGTACAGTTATTAAATGAATCAAGTACCATGAGCCTCCAACGCAGGTGATGTCCACCGAAGGAGAGGTGGCGGATGTCGAAGACGTGCCGACCAGGGCTGAGCCCACCTCGGTGGAGTGAGGATGAAAAGAAGAGTCGTTTAGGGTTTAGGGTTTAGGGTTTAGGGTTTGGGGTTTAGGGTTTAGGGTTTAGGGTTGAAAACCCTAAAGGGCTTTCCGGAATTTCGGGTCTTGAAGGCCTAAAACCTAGGACGAGAGGCCCTCAAACCTAACCTCTAAGGGTTCTCCGGGTTTTTCCGGGTTTCAGGGTTTGGGTTTCAGTCCAGAGCGCTGTGGGAGTCAGGCTTTGCAGGGCTTCCAGGGGTTTAGGGTTTCGGGTTTCGGGTTTCGGGTTTCGAGTTCAGGGTTTAGGGTTTCGGGTTTCGTGTTGGGGGGGGGGGGGGGGGGGGGGCAGGAAAGCACGGACAGCTGAGACCATGAAGGAGCGCTGCACTCGGCCGTCCCTGACTCTGGCTTCAAGAAAGTGCGCTTTGCAGCAGAAGAGGCTGTACATTGGTGGGGGGCTTGCGCGGATGGTGATGCAGCTCGACTCGGCGGGCGTGATGGCAGGCCCAGAACTACGCAAAAAGTTGTAGGTTTGCAGATTTACTTTGGACCCGGTCGAACTTGATTAGGACACAGAGACTGATGACTGAAGTAGGTTGCCAATCTGCTGCATCGCTGAGTAAGAGGTGAGCCGGGAGTGTTTGAGTCTGTGTTCTGTGGGCTACGCAGCCTACAGGCAAAGATGACAAAGCGGACGCCAACGAGGCCTGCAAGCTCCTGTTGTGCTTGAATGCAGTTGAAACTGGTTTTGTGTGCATCATAGCGAGATGAGGTCAGGTGTTCTGCTTCATTCTGCTTAAGCTGCAGTAGAATTCATACGAGGTTTCTGTGATTCGCTTCATGCGCACCCCTGGCTGCAGCTTGAGACGTGGAAGACGGCCTTTGCACGGGCGAGACTGGAGGTTCCATGCTTTGAGCATTAGCCTTTTGAGCATGAGGGTCAAGTTTTGCCAGAAAGATTTGAGAGATGCGAGCAAGCCCGTGTCATTGCTGCAGGATGTAGGGAATGTAGGGCATGCGTCATCGCTCTGACAGTTGAAGATATGCAATTCGCGCCGTTTGTGCATGTTGCTCTGCGCAATCCTTTGCCAGGCTTGCACTCTTCTCCTGCCTGAGTGGCGGGGCACTGTTGAGGTGTTGGAGTCTCGGCACCCCAAAGGGCACATCCGACGGATTCACGGCTGGTTGGCAACCTGCGTGCTCTTGCCTTTACGCTCCTTCGCCTTAAACGCCTGTGCTGCTGCAGTGCCTGTTTCGTGCAAGTCACAAGCACAAACTGCACGTACCTCTACTTTTCAAAGAGTCCGCTGAGATTTTCCTGTTGACGGCTCTAGCTGAGCCCTGTGAGCTTCCCGCACGAGCCACGTGCCGAGGCCTGCACACCAGTCGATTCTGCGGGGCTTCCACACAACGCCGTGTGCGGCGCGGGCCTTGGAGTTTCGTCTTTTGGTGGCAGTGTCGTAGATCACTCGTTTATGGAGCTTTCTCCGCTACTTCCATGGTGATATTCCGCGATGTACAGACTCCGAATGCAGGGCCTATAGCAGGGCTGGAGAGCCCTTTCGCATCCTTAGGGGTTGTCTTGACGCTGTCTTGGATCCCCCGAGAAGAAAAACGATGCCGTCCCGGCCGTGGGCTCCTGCCAGGACTTCCAGAAGGGCTACTGCGCGCTCCATCGGGTGCGTGGGAAGACATCCCTGTGTTTCTGCCGGGCTCCCAGCATCCCGGGCAGCAAGTTTTCAAAGATAGTGGGCCCGGGTTCCATATGAGGCGATAGCCTCAAGTGACGGCCTGAAAATTAGGGTGTTTTTTTCACAAGTGTAGGGTTTAGGTTTGGCTCGTTTCAAGGCACACCCCGCCTCCACTGGAGGCAACCTGTCCGAACGGGTCGCCTTTCGAAAGCCATTCCGACTAGTAGAAGTATCCTTAACGCTAAGCCTTAAATCCCAGACCCTAAACCCTGATACAGATGCGTGCCAGCCCCTAAAAAGGCATCGGCCCCCAAAACCGTAAACCCCCTTTTCAAGAGGGCCCCCTAGACCCCAAGCCATTCGAACGGTCGAAGCATCCGAAGCTATCCTAACCATCCTAAGCCCCTAAACCATCCCATCTCAAACCATCCTAAACCCTCCTAAACTTCAACCATCCTGACTCCTACACCTCCTGTTTTTTTTTCCAGGCTTCCATTTCGACTCTCAGCGCCGGCGTGCTCCTGTCGACGAGTCTGGTCGGCTGAGGCAGTGGGTTGTTTTTAAGGGAACAAGGCCAAACCTCAAGCTTCCGGGTGCTTTGTTGGGAGTTTTCTTGGGGGGTTTCAGTCCTCCTTTGAGGGGTTTCAGGGCTTTCGAGCTTGGGGGTTATAAGAGCCTCAGGGTGGAGGGACGACGGTTTTGGGGTGTAAGCTGGGGTTGTGACTGCTTTTTTTAGTTCCCGGGCGAGGAGCCTAAAAACGGCAGATTGCTTTGAGTGCGCTCTCCTGGACAGTTTGCTGGTCTTGGGGGCTGGGTTTAGGGTTTAGGGCCTAGGGTTTAGGGTCTAGGGATTAGGGCTGACAACTTTAGATTTGTGGAGCCGAAGAATGTGGCAGGTACTGGGACGTCGCGTGCCACAGCATGACTACGGGATCCCCGTGTCTCGATGGCGAGGACTGTGCCAGGAGCTCGAAGCACTAGAAGCGAAGTAGAGCCAACCAATCGGCTGCTTGTTTCCTGTGGATCGTTGGTTCGAAGACCCCTTCAACCATCGGCTCAGAATGGCTCTCAGAATTGGGGTCCTTGGAACACTCTGCCCTGTTCTCTTGTGAAGACTCTCCGCAAGGTCTTCGCGCACAGCCGTGACGAGATCTCATACCATCCTGCGAAGTACAAGACGAGGAGGTGACGATGCCAGAAACCCTGTGAACCTGCCAATAGCACAACTGCAGAAGCTCCGCAGAGCATGTGGTTCTTGTACGTAGGAGACTCTTTGTACCTGTTGTAGCCAGGTGCAATGGAAAGGGCTGCCGGGGACAGGCCTGTACCGCCCTACAGCAGAGTCTAGGCTGTGGGGTTGTGTTTCTCAGAACGGAGCCTCAGACTTCTTCTTGGAGCTAGGCACCGAGTCCTAGACGTCCTAGACCCGGAAGTTGTCAAGGCATCCCAAACCCCGGAGGGCGCGACGCGATTTCTTTTTAGTGAAGCATCCGAGCTCCATGTCGTGAAGCTGGCCCTTGTTGGTGTGCAGTTGGCAGCCACTGAAAGCCATTGCACGTGCGTGCTCCAAAGCTGTCACTCTTAGAACCCGTATTCGTGCTCTTACTGTATTGGCAAGGGCGTGCTTCAAGCTGGTTGTTGTGAGTAGTCGTAGCGCTTGAGAGAGTAGCGCTCGCTTGCTATGGCATCGCAGGCAAGCGATTTTACCTCTGCCTCCCTGGAGCTTATCAGCAAGCATGCGCAGGCACGAACCCTTGAGTCAGACGCCGAGCTGCAACATCTCGTCATCTACAACAGCGCTGAAGCGAAAGCTCCGTCGAGTGGGAAGCTGCGTATCGAGGACGCCCCTCTTCGTTTCCTCAATCGCCAGCACCACGCCACAAAAAATGTGCGGGATCAGAGGTTGTTCACCTGGGTGTACATCCGGCGCCATGAGTTCAAGGACATTCAGGCAGCTTTACAAAAGGTCATAGCCAAGGAGACCAGCAAGGGGCGTGGAAAGGGCAAGACGAAGGAGAAGAGAGGAAGCCACAATACAGAGCTGCCAACTTCTTTGATTCAGGAGCTGCAGCAGAGCTTATCGGTGTCCCCCGTCTATCATCTTGTGACTCGGGGCCGAGATGCTCTCTTCAGCCCACCGAATGACAAAGCCATCAAGGATGTCGTGACGGGGTACTTCCTGAACCCCATTCACGAGCTCCGCGAAGATGTCTTGAAGTACTTGGACATGGTGATCTATGGCGAGGAGGAGACGGGCTCTTCTCCAGCAGATGCCTTCCAAGAGCTCATGGCTGATGCGGGCTTCGTGGCCAAGCTGAAGATGTACTTTGACTCGGGTGATCGAGTTCGCGAGAGCTCCTTGCACTTGGCCGGGAGGCTGCGCGGCGGGAATTGCTTCCTCTTCCGCTGCATCAAGGAGAACCAGGTCGACCTTCTCAGGCTTCTGCTGACGCATCACGTGCCTGAAGTCACACGTGATGTGCCGTGGATGCGGTTGGCTGAGCCTTGCTTGCCGTGTGGTCAGTACAAGAACACCTCCTTCCATGAGGCAGCTTACTACGGACGAGCTGATTGTTTGGAGCTGCTCTTAGACTATGCCAGGCGTCACTCGATCGACATCCGGAACCTGAAGAATGAGGAAGACCGCAACAAGAAGACGGGTCTCACAGCTCTCGAGATGTCAAAGCAGAACAGGAACTGGCGCTGCTTCAACCTTCTGGCCCCTCTGTTCCTTGAGGAGGGCATGCACTGAAACACTGGCTCATTGGCTCATTGACCCGCTCGAATATCGGTGTGTGAAGGTAGAGCTGTAAGCATGAAAAAAGAACACATATATATATATATATATGTGGTACCATCCCCCCCCCAAATGCCCACACTTTTTCCTCTCAGGTGCCATGGTAGGGTCTAGAGGCTTAGGATTTCGAAGCCTCCGAGGGCAGCGAGCACGAAAGCGCTCTACTGTACCAATGTTTTAGGCCCAAAAGAGCAAGAACGCTGTACTGTCCAAAAAAAACCAATGTTTCCAGGCCCAAAACTGCAAAAATGCCGTACTGTCCCAAAAAAACCAAAAACCCAAAGTTTGGAGACCTCCAGGCCCTGGAGGAGCCCAAGGTCTCCAAACTTTGGTTTTTTTGGTTTTTTTGGGACAGTCTTAAAAGATTGGCTTTTTTGGGACAGTACAGCACTTTCGAGGCCTGGGACTGCATTCCAATACATTTCCATAGTTTGCCTAATTATTTTCATACGGCTCCTACGAATGTAATATGACTCCTATCAATTTTAAATAGGATTCTGTCATTTGAATAGGGTTCCCATAGAATTTAATAGAATTAAGGGTTCTCATTCCTATTAATGGGTTTCCTTTTCATTTTTATAAGATTCCTATCGAAACAAGATGAATCTTATGAACCCAATTAAATTTGATAGGAACGCTATTCACATGCATAGGATTTCTATTTAAATTCATAGCATGCAATCCACAATCTCGAGCAAATTGTTCAGGTCACTTCTGCTGGAGTTTTATGGGAGTCCCTCCCCCCTTAAAAACCACCGCGCGTGGCGCAACGTAGTGTTTTTGTCTGGAAACCATGCTGAAGCGTGGGCGCATGGGGGGGTGGGGGGTAGCATATATATATATATATATATGTATATACACATTCATATCTGTAATATGTATATATGTATATACGTATCTGTATATACCCTTTTGGGAAGCGCAGCGTCTTTGCTTCGAGCGTGTCCAGGACACAGTCGAGGAGGGGATAGACCACAACACTCGTGAAGTCCTTCGCCAGTCGATGTCGGCTCCGCGGATGGAATCTTGCCATAGTGGGGTAACATTTTACAGGTTTCAGGTTACTGAAAGACTTAAACTCAACAAGGAATAGAAACTTGAACTTCTAATGCTATCCCAACCATCAACTAGGAATGCATATTCACGTTCTTGGAGGATGGCTCCCACGCCTCTTTTGCAAAGATATCTGCACAGTGTCACTTCAAGACGTTGCTCGAGGAGCAAAACCACAGCATTCCCACAGCCCCTGTCGCCTGGGCACACTTCTTCGAGACGTCCACGGCCTTTCTTATGCAGCTTTGCGCCGGGTTTCGCTCTGCTGAAGGTCACGGGCTAACGACAGATGGCAACAGCCACCCAGTGATGGCGCAAGTTCGCGTCAAGCGGGACGAGCCTGTTGAGATGACTGCTTTCGAGTCTGGGCGTCTGATACGTGATCATGTGCCGCCAGCCAGCCTAGGACTGGAGTCAGAGGCTTGCTGTTCGCTTGCTGTTGAGCTGCGGCATCTGCGGTTTTGTGGTCCGGGTACCGGGCGAATCTGCGACAGCGCAAGAACTTGGTTGAAGCATCTCGCCAACTTGTTTCTAGATGCCAGGAGCCCAAGACTTTCGCTGAAGAGCGTGGCGTTTCTCACTTGCTTTGCCTCCAATGGCCCCCTGGCATGTGAGGAGTGGCTCAGAGCCATGTACGACCATACCATGGCCCAGCCTTCGCTTCCTCTTCCGCTCAAGTTCTGCTTCCGCACGCTGCCGGCCATTGCAGAGTATGATGAGGAGACCATTCGTTTCTCGAAGACGGCTGGTGCACGCCATGGCAACCAAGCTGCGCAACTAGCAAAGGGATTCTTGGAAGAGATCTTGCTGAAGCAGGACGTTTTCTTGGATCTTAGCGACAATTCCTCCTTGGTCGGGTGTTTCACTGCGGAGCAGGTGGGCACTGCCGATTTCCCGCAGGCCATCATTTCGGCGCTGGAGTTTGCTTTGGCTCCAGTGAACTTTGTCCACTTCATGTTCAAAGACGAACTGATCAAGGGAAGGTGTGCCACCAGTGATCCCGTAACCCAAGATGCAGCAGGACGCTTTCAGCAGTCACTGACGCTCTGTGGGGCGGCTGAGGTTCCTTATACACGCTTCTTTGATGAGAAGCTGCTCTTGACAAATCGTCCTGCATCTGTGCGGGACATAATTCGAGTGGAGGTCATCGACTATGTGGAGCTGCTGCTGCGTGCTTGGTTTCACAAGTGGGACCGGCAAAAGCCAAACATGTCCTGGGACTCCTTTGCTTTGCTTCTTTTGGCCCAGAAGCCTGTTGCGTGCAGTGATGCAGAGACGCACCGCATTCTGCATGACTGCAATGTGGCAGAGAGATTGTCAGTGGCTTATGACAAAGCTGCTAGCTCCTTCGTGCGGCAGTTTGCCATGCTCGACTATGCCCTTAAGAAATCTAGACCTGAAGCGCACCGGAAGCACGGCGGCGTCTTCAAATGGCTTGAGACACTCATTCCTCCTCTTGCTTTGAGCGGTAGTGGGCCCAACATGCCGGGCATGCCCATCACGAAGCGAAAGCTGGAAGAGTACAAAGAAGCCTACCTGTAGGTTCTTTTTTTGGACAGTAGGAACTGAGATTGTGCAACGAATGAGGCCGAAAATCCATGAGCAGCAGCTTTGTCATGCACGGGGACAGGAGTTCAAGTTTGCAGTTAGCTTTGTAGATATATACACATACATACATACCCTTTAAGGGGTTATATAGGGGATATATATATATATATATATCTACATATATGCACATGGTTCAATCACTTGTTGTGTCGTGGGCTTTCTGTTGCCTCTGGTTCTCCGCCTCGCCGGGGCTGCCTTATGCAATGAGGTAGCATGTTCTACATATATATATATATACCCGTTAAGGGATTGCATAGGGTATATATATATATATTTATACATACATACCCTTTAAGGGGTTATATAGGGGATATATATATATATGTTTTGTAAGGGATTATATAGGGATCAAGGCAGAGGCCAATATCAGAACGCTGGCGCCGCTCACAAGGTCAGCCTCACTGCAGCTCTACGGAACTTAGAAAGCCACTCTGTCAGGCAATGGAAGCTCCGAGCCCTGAACCCAAACTTACCTAAACTTCACCTGAATGCAAGTGATGGGGGCGGAAGCCAGGAGATCTGCTGCTTCGCGCATGGCGAGGCGTGGCCATGTGCAGGGGTTTGGGCCTTTGGCCTGCAGAGGGGGAGGGTCTGATAGGCGCAGCGTTGTGGAGCACTCCTGCTGCCAATACCATACGTCCACCAGGCCTCGAACTAATGCCCCCCCCCCCCCCGTCCACCTCCGCCCGCACAGTACTTTTCCAGAGACCGCGCCCTACGTCTCTACATAGACTCTACATCCTCAACCCTCAGTTTGCACCTTAAACCCAAAACCATTCAGGAGCTGAGGGGGTGGGCCCCGGACCTCTACTCCTACTGGCTCTTGGTCTATGGAGGCGCAAGCCGCCCTGCGTGTCCTGAGAGGTTTAGGGTTTAGGGCTTAGGCCTTAGGTTTGTTGCATGCTCTCATACCCGGACTGGGGGCTTCTCTTGGCTAAGGTTTACTGGCGAATCAGAGAATGAGGTACCCTATGTAATACCTTACAGGGTATGTGGGGCCCTAATTCACCTAAATAAACCCTTGGAGGTGTATATTTATATATACACTTATTTAGGGCCGTAATCTAAGAACTGAGTGGTTTGGGGTTCGTAGTCCCCCGAACTCCTCCCCCAAGCCCAGCCCAGCTCGTGAGGCCGCCGCGGGGTCACCGGTGCTGGGACCTCGAGGGGCCTGGAGGGTTTCGGGTTTAGGGTTTCGGGTTTAGGGTTTCCGGTTTAGGGACTGCTCTTGCCTGACTGGTTCTCAATGGGAAATCCGTGAACATCAGGTGCGTTCTCTCTCTGTCTCGTCTCTCTGTCTCTCTGTGTCTCTATGTGTTTCTTTGTGTCTCTCTGTGTCTCTCTGTGTCTCCCTGTTTCCACCTTTCTCAATCTCTCCCTCTCTCTCTGCAAATGGTTCCTGCGAACCATTGAACTCCCAGCACTGCGTAAGGCTGGTGATGACCTGAGGGTGCAGTGCAGGCCTTGGACACTGTCCTCAGCAGCTTCGTGATGTGCCAAACCATCAAACCCTGACAAAACTGAATGAAACCCTACACCCCAAAACCCTGAAGGTCTGAAGCCCCAAGCAGATAAGCTCCTCTTGAAACAACACCTCCTCGGCATTCCATCTTCCTGAGGCCCGTCGGGGCACGTCGCAAGGTGCGCTTTTGCGCCTCCTACCCGGACGTCTCCCAGGCTGCGTGTGTGCAGGGTCCAGGGTTCAGGGTTTCGGGCGGCCCGCCGAAAATCGCTTCAGAACGATTCGGCCACCATCATCTTGTGCGCTCAGAGACTGGAACTACCTGGCCCTTTAAGCCCTTAAGGTTTCGATCCTATAGGTCCTTTTAGGCTACAGAAAGCCCTCAGACCTCACGAAGCCCTCAGCCGCTCCTGCGCAGTGTCGTCGGGGTGCCGCTTGCGAGTTCGCCCATTCCAGGGAGGCCGGCCCGGATTTCGGTTGTTGGCTTGCTTTCAGGGCTCAGAGGTTTCGTGGTTTAGGGCTGAGGGCTCTTTTTGGAGTCTTTTTTTGGGGGGGCTTCGGGGGCTTCAGGGCTTTAGGAGCTTGGACCTTGCGGCTGAAGCGCTTTCAGTGGGCAACCCTCATCCCTCAACCCTCAAACCCTATAGAATCTACTCCTTTACCCCCTCTACCCCCTACAACTATAAACCCTATACCCCCCACAACCCCTCTAACCCCTCTAACCCATATAACCCTTTTAACCCCTATAGCCATCTATAAGCCCCTATAACCCCTCCAACCCCTATTAGAATCCAAACCACGGACATCCAGGAGGCCGCGATAGAGCTTCTGACGGAAGCGCAAGAGCAGCAGGCGAGAGAGCTTTTGAGCGTACCCGCTGTGCGCCTTCCGATCTGCTCATCGGTTCCGTCCCGTAACGTGACGGTGTCTTCTGATGGTGTCTTGGGCAGGTTCCTGAAGCACTGACCGAAGACTTCTTCATGTGCCCCCTAAGGTTTCAGGGACCACGGGCTTATGGGTTTTAAGGTTGAAGGTGCCCTTTTCTGCCCATCACCTTGCCAGGTACCAGTACAAGACACTCTGGTGCCCCATCGGGGTGCAGCATGACTGGCAGACCTGCGTCTATGCCCACAACTACCAGGCAGCTCTGCCCTTTCATCTTGCCCTGAGGGTTGAGGGTCTCAATGTTTTTACCCTAAACCCTAAGCCCTGAACCCTATACCCTCAACCCTGAACCCTAAGCCCTAAATCCTAAACCCCAACATGGAAGCTCAATGGTACTGCGTCTGCAGTCGACCATCAGCGCAGATGGGACACAACACCATCCACCTACTCAGCTATTCGACTCCTTGCCTCTCATCCTGAGCTTCCACACCACGGCTCAACCTGAGAAGGCCCCTAAGTCTTCACCTTGAGGCTCCCAACCCCCTGAACCCGAAAATTTCACCGCCGGTTTGGCCGGGGCCTGCCCGGAGGCTGATTCCGGTGTTAGGCTCAGGGCTTTCGGTTTTGCGAATCCTGTTGTAGCATGCAGGATCATATATGGACCCGGCTCATATGAGAGAATTTCCAATGTGGCCCAAAATGTAGGGAGTCCCTGACGTTCTGACAGCAAGCTCCATATATGGTCGGGCGTCTGGCGTGTCCGGCCCCCCCCCCCCCCCCAATGGTATGGTCAGGTAGGGGGGGGGGGGGGGGCCGACCCTCGGCAAAACCCGTGTTTTGTGAGTGTTGTGCCTTGGGTTGAGGGAGCACGCTGTCGGGAAAACCTATGTGTGTGAGGCGTTTACCCCCCCCCCCTCCCCCTCCAGGTCTACGGTCTCTAACCCTAAACCCTAAACCCTGTCAAACCCCAAGCCCTAAACCCTAAACCAACCCTAAACCCTAAACCCTAAAACCAACCCCCAACCACACCACAGGGGGGGGGTTAACCCTAAAACCTTTCAAACCCTAAACCCTAAACCCTAAACCCTAAACCTAAAACCACCCTAAACCCTAAACCCAAAACCAAACCCAAAACCCAAAACCTAAACCCAAAACCTAAACCCTAAACCCTAAACCTAAACCCTAACCCTAAAACCAACCCCCAACCACACCACAGGGGGGGGGGGGTTCCAGACCATGGGGTGGGGGGGGAGGGGGGGGCCGGGGAGCACTGGACCATATATGGCCAGCTGCTTTCTGCTAGCCAGACACCTACAGCGGGGGATCAAGGCCCCAAGCCCTGAAGTACTCCCCTCTAAGCACCCCAGAACCCCGAACCCCCTGAATACCCAACCTCCAAAACCCCCTCAACTCCCAACCCCGAACTCCTAAACAAGCACCGGAGGAAAAGCAACTGGAGGGCCCTATATAATCCCGCAAAGAATATACATATATATATATATATATGTATATATTATATTTTTTTTATATGCGGCCCTCCTTCCCTCATTGCTTCTAAGAACCACTTTCTTCCGCAGGATGCTCGGCGCAAAGTCTCCATTGGCTACGGGCCGCAGCCGTGCCCGCACTGGGCAAAGAAGGAGCCACGAGAGTCTGGGGCTCAAAGCCCTAACGCCCTGAACCCCTAAACACCCTAAACCCTAAAACCTAAACCCTAAACCCTTCCTAGACCCCTGAACCCTAAACCCTGAACCCTGAACCCTTGAACCCCGAACCCCGAACCCTGAACCCTTGAACCCCTAAGCCTTAAACCCTGAACCCCTGAACCCCTAAACCCCTGAACCCCTGAACCCCTGAGCCCCTGAACCCCTCAACCCTCAAACCCCAATCCGATATGTCAGTGTTGCCGGCCGGAGGATCCCAGCTTGCCGTACAACGAGCGCTGCCCCAAGGCCGGACAGGGTTTAGGGTTTAGGGTTTAGGGTTCAGGGTTCAGGGTTTAGGGTTTAGGGTTTAGGGTTTTGGGTTTAGGGTTCTGGGTTTTGGGTTTTGGGTTTTGGGTTAGGGGTTTACGTTTTGGGGTTTGGGGTTTAGGTTTTCGGGTTGGGGGGCCTCCGGAATTAGGCCAAACCCTGAGCCCTGAAGCAAAGTTTAGGGGTCTTAGGGTTAGGAACTGTGGAATTTTGGGCATTTTAGGGTTTTGGACTTTTAGGATATCGGGAATGTGTATAGGAATTTAGGGCTAGTGAAGGAACTGCGGAATTTTGGAATCTAGGGATCCAAGCCAAGACCCCAAACCCGCAGCGCATGGGGATTCAGGGGACCTCGCGGTCTCGTTTAGGCTTCAGGTTAGGGTTTAGGGTTTAGGGTTTGGGGTTTGGGGTTTAGGGTTTAGGGTTTCGGGTTTAGGGTTTAGGGTTTAGGGGCTCTGAGAGTTCAGGCTTCGAGGCTGTCAGGTTTTTTTGGCACCAGGTGGTTCAGGGTTCATCCTGAACCCTCCTAATCCTCAAGCCCCAAACCCTCAAACCCTCAACCCTACAACCAAAACTATTGCAAGCCACCCTCAACCCTACAAAACTCCACAACCCAAGAAACTATGGCATTCAAACCCTTAAAACCCTAAACCCTGATTTACCCCCAAACCCTAAACCCTAAACCCTAAACCCTAAACCCTAAACCCTAAACCCTTAAACCCTTAAATCCTTAAACCCCGAAAGCCTTGGCTTTGCCCAGGGCTTGCGCTGTCCTTACGCGCACGGCGCCAAAGAGCAGCTCTACCATCCTCGCTACTTCAGGCCCAGCCTCCTGGCGTCCTGGGTTTAGGGTTTAGGGTTTAGGGTTTGGGGTTTAGGGTTCAGGCCCAGCCTCCTGGATTCTTGGGTTGTTTTCAGGGTTCACCCGGCCTCTTGGGGGGCCCGTCCAGCAAAAACGAGCTTCTGGGTAGGGCTCTCGGTTTGGGTGTCGGGTCATGCGGGCTTATTTGGGATGCTGGGGTCATCGGACGCGGATATTGGGGAGATATGAGGGATGTGCATGCACAGGGGAAAGGAGCAGCCCGCAATGCTTTGATCCCCCCCAGAACCCATTAGCGAAACCCTAAACCCTAGACCCTAAACCCTAAGCCCTAAACCCTAAACCCTAAACCCTAAACCCTAAACCCTAAACCCTAAACCCTAAACCCTAAACCCTAAACCCTAAACCCTAACCCTAAGCTTTGCATGGGGCCATGTGCGCCGCAGCGGCCCAGGGTCGACTTTGCAGCCTTCCGATATCACCAGTACGTATCGACTTGGGGGTTTTAAGGGTTTAGGGTTTCGGGTTTAGGGTTTAGGGTTTCGGGTTGAGGCTCATATTCTTGGCAAGTGTTTTTTCGGATACCTTGTCAGACTGCAGCACATGGTGCAGAAAATCGAGGGTTTCAAGATCCTGACCTGACGTAGCCTCTTGTGTGATGCAGCTTCGATGTGCGTTGCTCGCTTCCAACTTTTTCCACTCAAGATGAAGCCTTTTCTTGAGAGTCATTGGCAACATCTTTCGTGGCCCCCCGCGATGGTTGGGTTTTGACTTGTGCAGCACTCGCCCAACCCTGGTCTGAAAGACATGGTACAGACTTCCAATGTGAGCGTGGTTTGGGCTCCTGCTTCTTATAAGCTTTCGACCTTGATTGGACAGTGCTGATTATACATGCTTCTGGAATGGAAAAGCTTCAGTGCGGCCGCCGGGGCGTGTGTACTTCAAGCGCTGTTTCAGCTCTGTGTCTTCTCCTGCAGGTAACTTGGGCTACGCTTCAACCTCTCGACGCAGTTTTCCCTTCGGGCTAGTTGATGTACAGGTGGCTGGTCTACGCTCTTGTTCAGTTGACCGGGTCTGTTCTGCAAGAGGTGAAGCTGCACCTCATGGCACAAACTTGGAGGCAAAGTTTGAGGCTGTCTTCTGAACTTGTGGGCTTGCGCAGGCTGTGCCCCCTGCGCCGTGCTTCCAATGGTTGGGAGCCGTCTTTAATTGGTTGAAGCACTCAGCCATGCTTTGATCGTCGTGTGCTTGGGCCATGGTTGCTGCTCCATGGCTCTCCTGGTGGCAATGCGGCCTTGACGTCCAGTGCTGGGGGATTGGGTTCTCAAGTGCTGTGAGGGCCCTGAGGGCAAAGCTGCACACACTTTTCATCAGACTCTCAGTGGTCTGATTGCAAGAACTCTAACGTCAGGACCAGTCGCAGGCTGCTGCAAAAGAGGGCAACGAGATGTCGCTTTCACACATGCTTAGCTACGCCGTCTTTCCCATCAGCTACCAGCCACTGCAGCGGAGCCCGAAGAAACGTTCTCCAAGAATGAGGCTCATATTCTTGGCAAGTGGTTTTTCGGATACCTTGTCAGACTGCAGCACATGGTGCAGAAAATCGAGGGTTTCAAGATCCTGGCCTGACGTAGCCTCTTGTGTGATGCAGCTTCGATGTGCGTTGCTCGCTTCCAACTTTTTCCACTCAAGATGAAGCCTTTTCTTGAGAGTCATTGGCAACATCTTTCGTGGCCCACCCTGGCTGCGCCCCCACCCTGTTGGGTTTCTCAAGTGCTGTGAGGGCCCTGAGGGCAAAGCTGCACACACTTTTCATCAGACTCTCAGTGGTCTGATTGCAAGAACTCTAACCTCAGGACCAGTCGCAGGCTGCTGCAAAAGAGGGCAACGAGATGTCGCTTTCACACATGCTTAGCTACGCCGTCTTTCCCGTCAGCTACCAGCCACTGCAGCGGAGCCCGAAGAAACGTTCTCCAAGAATTAGGGTTTAGGGTTTCGGGTTTTAAACCCTAAACCCTAAACCCTAAACCCAAAACCCTGAACACTAAAAACCTAAAACCTAAACCCCAACTTCGAGCCGCCTCAGAACCGTGGTCTGCCGCGACGTGCGCTCCAAGGCACGCGCCGGGAGTGAAGGGCCATGCCGTTTGGTGGGTCTCAGTGGTCCTAAACCCTAAACCCTAATCCCTAAACCCTAAACCCTAAGCCCTAAACCCTAAACCCCAAACCCTAAACCCAAAGCCCAAAGCCCAAAACCCTAAACCTTAAACCCGATGTTGAGGGTGTAGGATCTACATCAAAGGAAGGCTTTGGAGGCATTCGAGGTGCCCGGACATTGTCCCAACCTCAGCCTTTGTAGAAAGGGGGTTTTAGGGTTTCAGGGTTCAGGGTCTAGATTTCCTGTCACCCCCATGTCTTTGACCTCCGTAGTTGTTTTGTTGGTCTTGGCTGTGTGAAGTAATGTGCGCCTGTGCAAAGTCATGCAAACGTGCAATCTCATCCACGCAGGCCTGTCCCCGAGCGCACCTGTGCGCCTTCTTCCACCGACGGGCAGAGCGCCGACGGCTGGCCAACGATGATGGCCGGACATGTTAGGACCTAGGATCTTGTCTCTATTGGCGTCGTCTTGGAGCTTCCGGGTACATCATCTCTTACTTTTTCCTGCTGCGCCGGAAAGCTGTCAGATACGGACTACAGCAGACCTTTGGCTGAGGAGGCGGGAGAGCGGCCTGAGCAGCTTTGGTCGTTTTTTTTGCACGCAGAGCATGTGGCATGGTGAGGCTTTGCCGGCAGAGTGGAAGTCGGAATTCCTGCGGCCGCCCTTCAGTGATGCGTGCCGGACTTGGAGGGAAATCCGATTTCCGTTTCTTCCGTTCTGCAAGCGGAGGCCGGCAGAAGCGATGCGGCCACTGCATTGGGAGCTTGCTCGGAAACCCTAAACCCTAAACCCTAAACCCTAAACCCTAAACCCTAAACCCTAAACCCTAAACCCTAAACCCTAAACTCTAAACTGCATGCTCTAAACCCTAAACCCTAAACCCTAAACCCCAAACCCGAAGCCCGAAACCCGAAACCCGAACCCTATTGCTCTTCTGTGGCCGAGGCCCTCAGAGGCCCCGTTGCCTCCAGGAGGCCTGATGCCAGGCACCAGCTGAGGGCCGCAGTGGCTTGCTGGGACAGGGTCTGTGTTCGGGTTTCTTGAGGTTTAGGGTTTAGGGTTTAGGGTTTAGGGTTTAGGGTTTAGGGTTTAGGGTCTAGGGTTTCCATGAGATTCCCCTGCATGGCCCGAGATTCCCCCCTAACCCCCTACACCCCAAAACCCCAAAAGGTCCACCCCTAAGTTTTTCCAGGTGGCAACTTTGACTCGAACCCGTGGTCGCAAGAGGCGCAGGGAGGCTCAGACTCTGTTTCTTTTGGGGCAATGCCATTCAACACAGTAGCTCCTCAGTAGCACTGAGGGTGTTTTTCTTTCAAAGGAACTGGGTATCAAAGGAGGTGTTATCCAAGAGAGCCGCACATCTTCGTGAGAGTGAGATTCGGCAGGTTGCAAAGAGAGGGAGGGACAGCGAGAAAGAGAGAGAGAGGAGAGAGAGGAGAGAGAGGAGAGAGAGGAGAGAGAGAGAGCGAGATTGAGATTGCTCGTGCCGAGTTTCCCGGAAAGCGTGGCACCACTGAAGCTGCTCGGCTTGGGAATCTTCAAAGAAGTTGGGTGTGGGGTCTACTTGGTGTCTTTGGCGAACTTTTTTCCGGGCTTAGGTTTGCTAGTCGTCGGTGTGTCGGTCTTTTTCCAAGTTTCAGGAATGTTGACTGCTCTCACAACCCAGTGATGTTTGGAGGAATGCTTGTACTTGAGTCAAGAACACGAACGCAGTTAGACATGTACCCGTCGTAGGCCTAGGCATGCGTTTGGAGTTGGTACGGATTTCGTGCGTCGGTACCCTTGCCCAGGCTCTCTTCGCTGCAACTGAACTTGGAACTTGGCTCGCAGGTTGGACTTCAGGGGATCCCGAAAACGCTGTGTCTGACTTTGTGGCTTTCTTTATGGGATTCATAGGCCACTTAAAGCTGCCAGTGCATGTCTGCGCACACTCATCTCTCGGTCTCTCGCAACCTTCTGCAGCTACTTGTGGACCTTACTACGGTCATGTACCGTTGCAGGGCCTCTGGCATATTGGCAGACGTCGGCATGCAGCCCATGCACCCTGCGCAGGACCTGGCACAAGCTTTCCGCTTCTCGAAGGACACGCCCAGGACGCCCCCTTGAATTCGCCAATGGTGCACACGTGATACCGTATCAGAGTCTTGAAGCTTCAGCTTCATATTCTCAACCTGTAGCCGAGTTTCCACCGCGGCTTCCTCGGTGACTCTCCGAGTGCCTCAGCTGTGTCCGTTCCTAGCCTCAACGTCCGCCCTTTGGCCCAAGCCCACAGTGATGCTGATATCGAATGAATCGTGATGGCTCGCGATGCTTTATCATGAGGTTTCATGGCCTAGGTGATGCTGTCGATGGGTCGAACATATGCAGGACCAGTTTTGTAGATGGAGAGGAAGGGCGGCAGAATTTATAAGCAACAAGAGGTGTGCTCCGAATCAAGGCGCAAAGCTCACCATCGCCTGTGCACCTCTCGCTCAGTTCAACCTTTTCAGCATGCATCACAACCCGCAGCGATAGGCCATAGACCTAACGTCTCTGCTGCGGCTTGATAGACACGTTTTCAACGGCGCGTGCCTCTGGTCGTTTACCATGCCGTGCACCGTGGCCGTGTGATCATTCCCATCGGTCGGAGACCGGGTGCCTTCCCCAGACAAGCGGGCAAAGCCGCAAGAGGGTGTGAACAGCAAGCAGCGTACCTTTCCTGCGCGGTCGCAACAGTTTCTGACAGAGTGCGAGAGTTGAGCCGAGGGCATCATGTCTGCGGATGCCAGCACGTCACTGGCAACGGAGGTCGGCGGCATGCCTCTTCGATTCCTTTGCATGGTAGGATGAGCCTGGGATCATCGCTGTTGCTTTCTTAGGCTGTCGTACCGGCGCCCACTAATGGTTATCTTCAACACCGCCTCACATCATGTCTGTGCACCCCTAGGCTGACTGTAGGCGATATACCCCAAGCCCTAAACCCTAAACCCTAAACCCTAATCTGCCCTAAACCCTAAACCCTAATCTCAGAGGTGCCTTCCCAGGACTACTACTCTGCCAGAGAGTCGTCGGGGGCCTCGACGCGGAGGTTTAGTTCCTCCAACCTCCCGAAAGCCCCACACCCAGTTTTGCAAGCGTCCTGACGTATCCCTCGAAGTAGAACCCGAGGCAGCCCGCAAAACCCTTTCACTCCAAATCCAAGGTCATAGAGAGAATGAGACCTGGACCTCCAACCCTGTACCCCCCAAAAACACCTTACTTCCACGTGAACCCGAAACCCGCCTAGGCCCTTTCAAAGCCAGGGTGCACCTCTGAGGCCCCATGAGAGCTTTTTGCCTCCCCCCGCCGCTTGGGCCTTGGCGTCGGGATTGTGGGGGTGGAGGGCGTGGATTCTAAGTTAGGGTCCCTTTTTCGGAGGTGCTTGGTAACACTTGCACAGAGGGGGGCCCGAGTTGTGAAGCCCTTAACCCCAAAAGGGAATGTAGCTTCAAGGGCACCTGGTTTGAGGGGTTGGTGAGCTAAAAACCCAAGGTGTGTAGAGCACTCAGGAACGTTTGAAGGGGGATTTCAGGGGGTGTCACGAGCTTGCAGATCTATCCTAAGACCCTCAAGCCGAAACAGCCGAAGATGGGGCCACTTCTCTAAACTGTGGTCCCTGTTGGGAAGGGGACTTCTGGGGCCTTGCGAAGTTAGGGGTACCTGAGTGGTTCCTAGGTGTCCTGGTGATGGGGATGGATCATTGCAGTTATTGATCTTCAACGAGGAGTTCCTAGGAAGCGCGAGTCATCAGCTCGTGCTGCTTACGTCCCTGCCCTTTGTACACACCGCCCGTCGCTCCTACCGATTGAGTGCTCCGGTGAAGTATGCGGACTGACGCAGTGGAAATCTACTCCCAACTTCTTCACTTGCCGTTCCCCGTAAACCTTGAGCCCTTAACGCCCTAAACCTCAAGGTCCCCGAGGAAAAGTGCCGAGTAGGTTCCGCGAATGGGCCGTCCTTTGAGACCTTTCCCATTTTCTTGTTGTTGCTGGTGGCCTATAGTATGCCGCAACCACATTCTGCTCCCCCGACCCTAAACCCTAAAGTCAGGTTCTGGCTCAAGCCAGAGAGCCGAGGCCCGAAAGCCCCAACCGCGGCACTCACTCAACCTCAGCAAGCACCAGGCATCCAGTCTTCCAGAATCCTCTGAGATGCCCTTACCGGCCTCGAAACCCTAAACCCTAAACCCTAAACCCTAAAGCCTAAACCCTAAACCCTAAACCCTAAACCCCAAGCCCTAAAAACCAAACCCTAAACCCGAAACCCTAAACCCCAAACCCTCAACCTCAAACGACGCCCTCCCAAGGTGGCGCCGCGGAGCGCTCCGCGCGTGGCGCATCGAAGCTCGATGCCCTTCCCGCTCGAGGCTCCGCGGCGGCCGGGGCCTTGGTTTCTTACGGGAGGCTTTGGGGCTGTAGTGTTTAGGGTTTGGGGTTTGGGGTTTAGGGTTTCGGGTTTCGGGGTTTAGGGTTTAGGGTTGAGGGTTTAAGGGGCGTAAGGGTTCTTTGGGGCTTGAGGGGTTTCCAGTGTTTTGACGATGCTAGTTCGCAGCCTGCTGCTGTGTTGGGGGGGGGGGGGGGGGGGGAGAGGGATCCGTGTCCTGTGCCTCAGGTCTGTGGAGATGGCCGTGATTGGTGGGATGCCTAGGACCTTGCTTGAGCCTCCCATGCGCAGCGGTCTCGAACCCTCGAAGCGCTTCTGAGGTGATACCGGTGATACCTCAGGGGGTACCACGCGCACCTCCTCAGCTCCCGACTGGCGAGCGCAGAAGAGGCCCGGCTCCTCAATCCTCGGTTCGCTGCGCAGCACCGTCAGCAACCCGAGCAGAGAACTGAACGCAGCCAAGCCACTTTGGGATTTCGCGATTCCGTGTAAACCCGACTGCCCGAGCTCGGTGTAGCCTCGGACACCGTCATAAACGGTAAAAGATGTTTTCTTTGTTTGGTAGCAACCACACGCAGAGTTTTGTGACTCTATGAGAAGGAGAGATGTCCAGTCCATCTCCAGAAGCTTTGTGATGATTCGGTGCTTCGGCGCGTGCTTTCCTGCAGGCATACCTGGTCCGGCTATGGGATCATAAGCCTCATCTCAGGCAGCTTGCAAAGAGGGTTTCTTTGGATGTTGCCCTGGTGAGCTGTGGCTGCCTTCTGCCCCCCCCATGAGCGCTGGGCCCGCAGGTAGCAGCAAGTTCTTCAGCGCACAGGCCCCTTGGGCATAAGAGTGTTTAGGGTTTAGGGTTTAGGAGTGTGGGGGTAAGCTCACCACGCTTCATCGTTTCTGTGATGTTCTGTGCCCTGGTTGGCCTTAAATTCTGACGAGACTCACAGGCAGAGGCAGAGGAGGACCCCCTGGAAGAGCTTCCTGTCGCCGTCAACGAGGTGCCATAGCCTTCTTTGACTCCTGGCCTTTTGCACCCAAATCTGCCCCCAAAAACTCACAAAACATGATCGTGGGTCTTCGCCTTTCGGCCTCCCGCAGCTGCGTTGCTCAACCGCGGACCACATGCTCAGAAGCGAAGGACTCCGAATGACATACCCATAGTGACAGCCATGCCATCCAGCCCCCCCAAAGCACTCAAAGGATGCGAGCTTTGTCAAGACATAGCAAGACCAGCCGGGACTCCGGAAGTGCATTCCTCCTTCGCCCGGCGAGGTGCAGGCCAGGCCAAATGCCCAAGACGACAAAGCACTCCCAAGCCACCCCGAAAACCCAAACTAACCCCAAACAACTATGCACCAGCAAAGGCATACACAAAGCTGCCGCTCCCCTGTTGGCCTGCAAAGGCAGTGGCCATGGGCAAAGCCGGCAAGAAGAAGTCGGACAAAAAGGGTTTCCTGGATGGCCAGGTGGGAGTGGCACCTTTCCGGCTTCGGGGATTCAATGGTCAGCGGAATAGGAGGGTGCCAGTCGTACAAGGAAGCAGGAGGTTGTATAAGAGTTGACAAAAGCCGGCCTGCAACATGATCTAGGGTCATCTTAGGTTCTGGAGCCCGGGCACGACGCCACCAATGCACCTGCAGTTACATTTTTTTAGTTGCACCGCCTGCAGATCGGCAACGTCTTCTTTCTGACAATTGCTGCTGCCATTGGCGGCTTGGAGAGAAGGGCTTCGAAAGTCTGTTGTTTTGGGCGACGGCTGGCTGTGAATCGCCGGGCCAGGCTTGACTTTACCAGCCGAGATCAGCCGAGGCTATTGCCGCTACCATCAGATCCCGATCCCCGTCCTGGACGACCTCGTCCGCAAGGCCCTCTACGGCGGTGCCGGAGGTGGCAACAGCCCAAAGCCCTCTCAAAGCCTTAAACCCTCCCGAAGCCCTCCCTTAACCCTAAAACCTAAACCCTAACCCTAAACCCTAAACTAAGTGAGGGGTCGCTTCCGTCGAGCGACAGACCCCGAACGCTCGGCCGAGGGCCTTACAGCCCGAGCGCCCAAGCGAAAAGAGAAACGGAAAGGTGAGGGTTAAGCCTCACCGTCTGTCCTGGACAGGCCAACGGACATCGGCCTTTTTTACGACAACGTCAGTACTCGGCTAAGGGATGGCCGGGACCCAGACCACCTTTAGCGTAGCTAAAGTATAACCCCAAATCGTAACCCTTTTCTCTCTGGATGTGGTTCAGGGTTTTGGGTTCAGGGTTTGCCGGGCACCCCCCCCCGGGGGCCCCCTGGCCTCTTGTGGCTGGATTCCTGGACCAGGAGGCTGGCGAGGGGTCCAGGCAGGCTGGTTGGTCTTTTTTCATGGGCTCGAATCGGAGGCCCCCGTCTCGCCGGTCTGGGAGACTCTTTACAAAGGCTCGAACCAACCCAGAAAGTGCTTCAAAAAGAGCGGGGACCCCAGGATTTGCCCGTACCCGCTAAGAACGATGGTTTTGGGCACCCCTGCATTTTGCTCCAAAAGGGTCAGGAAAGCCCCAGCAAACCCCAAGAGCCACCAAAAGGCTTCAAAAGTTTCCCTGACCTTCAAATAAATAAGGGCCTCTACGGGCCCTGACACGCCGAAGGCCCGAAAAGGGCCGAGGCTACCCCCAACCCCAGCTTAAACCCTAACACCGCAACTTTAAAAACATCAAAGCAAGCTTGCAAGCCAAACTCCCGCGACTTGGGACTCCGGGGGCCCTCTGGAAGCTGGTGGACCTCTTTTCTCTAGCCGGACGCTCAGGGCTTAAGAGGCTTGGGGCCCCAGGATTTGCCCGTGCCTGCAAGGACAAATGCGATTTTTTGTACTAAGAACGAGTTTTGGGCACCCCCCAGAAGGGCCAGGAAAAGCCCCCAGGAAGCCCCCAAGAGCCACCAAAAAGGCTTGAGGCCCTTAAAGAAGGGGAATCCAGGAGCCGGCACAAAGGGTTTCCCTGACCTTCAAATAAATAAGGGCCTCTACGGGCCCTGACACGCCGAAGGCCCGAAAAGGGCCGAGGCTACCCCCAACCCCAGCTTAAACCCTAACACCGCAACTTTAAAAACATAAAAGCAAGCATCGGGGCACAAGAAAAATACATTCCATAAACCCTAAACCCTAATAGAGTATGGTGTGGGTGGCCGGGGTGGGTTGACGGGCAACGCGAGCGCGCGGCCCGGGGTGCTTCACACCCGAGCGCGCGCCCTCCCCTGACACACCCTAAACCCTAAACCCTAAACCCTAAACCCTAAACCCTAAACCCTAAACCCTAAACCCTAAACCCTAAACCCTAAACCCTAAACCCTAAACCCTAAACCCTAAACCCTAAACCCTAAACGAAAACAGGAAGCCACCCCAGCTCGCCTCTCTCCCCTGGAGGCGGCTCCGGCGGTGCGGACGAGGTCCTCACCTCCTTCGCGGATGCCAAGGACGGCAAGGCCATCGCCGGGGGCCCAGAGTGGTGGAGGCCAGGGTTTAGGGTGTAGGGTTTAGGGTTAGGGTTTAGGGTTTAGGGTTTAGGGTTTAGGGTTTAGGGTTTAGGGTTTAGGGTTTAGGGTTTAGGGGTTAGGGGTTTAGGGTTTAGGGTTTAGGGTTTAGGGTTTAGGGTTTAGGGTTTAGGGTCCCCACCTCCCCAAAACTGTTTCTTGGTTGGGGAGGAGGGAATTGGGGCCCTCTGTCGACCCTTTAAGTGATGAAACAGGGTACCTCATTCCTTCATTCCCTACTGAGAGCCAGCCAGAAAATCCTCAATTTAGGCCTTCAACACCAAAGTCTCAGAAACCCTAAACTTTAAACCCTAAACCCCAAACCCCAAACCCTAGACCCTAAACCCTAAACCCCAAACCCCAAACCCTAAACCCTAAACCCTAAGCCCTAAACCTCGGCCATTGGGATCGCTGCCGAGGCGACGACCGACCTCCTGGGCCAGATCCAGCGCTTCTGCGGCTCCCGCGGCAAGTGCACGGACGACTACTGGGCGCGCAGCACCGGTTTAGGGTTTAGGCTTTAGGGTTTCGGGTTTAGGGCTTGGGGTTCAGGGTTTAGGGTTTGGGGTTCTTTGTTGGGGGTCGGGGCAGGGCGTGTCACGTGTCTTGGGCTGTGCGCAAGTTCGAGGATTCTTTCCACCCAAGTGTGTGCCCACGAGGCCCAAGGCCACTAACCGAGCTGCGGAGCACTAGAGCTTTTTGCCTCATACTGTAAGCACGACTTGAAAGTTCCTTGGTAGTTGATAAGTAGGGTGATAATTAGTGCAGAAACCCTGACAAACCCGGACGACCCCCCCCCCCCCAAAAAAAAAAAAACAGAAAAACAACAACAAACAAATGAAACAATCAGAAAACAATCAAAAAACCCTTAACAAAGGCCCCCCAACAAAAACGAAGAAAAACAAAAAAATGCCCAACAAAAGATAAGACAAAAAAGCAGGGAAAATCACCTCAAAACAGCCCTAAAGCTTCGCCCCCAGAAGCCCCCAAGACCCTAAACCCTAAACCCTAAACCCTCAACCCTAACCCCTAAACCCTAAACCCTAAACCCTAAACCCTAAACCCTAAACCCTAAACCCTAAACCTCCAAGCCAGGAGGCCATCCCGAAGGTGGCCGAGGCCTTGAAGAAGGGGCCCGGTACCTGGGACCGAAAGCCGATGAAGAAGGCCCAAACACACAGGGGGTCTTCAGGGGGTTTAGGGTTTAGGGTTTAGGGTTTAGGGTTTGCTGTGATAGGGCGTAGATGCTGTGAAGGCTAGGTTTTGGAACAAGCTCGAAAGCTTCGTGAGGCGCGAAGAGCAGCTTTGGCCCGAATGTGGAAGGCCATCTAACACTTTTCTCCCACCCCACGCCGTTCGAGGCGGCAAAGCCACCCAAACGTATTCCTTTTAGGGTTTAGGCCTAAACTCAAGCCAACTGCTCCTTTCCATTAAACTTCTTCATTCCGTCACGGTGGTCGCCAGCCTGGTTCAGGTTCACAAAAAAAGCCACAGGCAGAAGAGCAGAAAGGCCCAGATGGGCCGTGAGGCTCAGGCCCACCAGAACCTGCGCCCGGGCAGGGGAGTTTTTTTGGACCCGAAAACAGCTGGCTCCCTGGTTTCTGGGCACGCTGCGCCGACGGCTCCAGGACCCCTGGGCTGGGGCCCTGGGGGTAGCCCCCCTCAAAATGCCAGCGCTCTTTAGGAACGTTTAGGCGGGCGAGCGACCTGGGTCGGCTTGCGCCGTCGAGGTCGAAGGGCTTAAGGGGGGCGGCCTAGGCCCTGAGTTTAGGGTGTAGGGTTTAGTGTTGTGGCCCAAATTCGGGGCCTTGCGTTGCCGCTTTGTCCAGGCCAAGGCCAATGAGCTGGATGCCGGAGACCCAAGCAGAGGGTGCAAGGGTAGGTGGGAGATTCGGGCAGGTGGGTCGAAAGGCCCCTGACTGACTCTGCTCAACACCCAACACACCGCCCATTCCATGGAGCCGAAACCCAAAAAAAACTGAGGGTCTCCTGGTGAAGCTGGCAGAGCGGCCGCAAGCCAGGCATCTCCGGCAACCACGCGACTTTCCAAACCGGTTCACCACTAGACGGCGTGTCAGGGTTAGATGTGAAGACATGGTAAGGCTCCCGAAAATTAGGGCCCCCTTTGTGGGTGCCTATTGCAAGCTGTGTACTGAACAACAAGGAGCATAGTTTAGAACGGGCAGATCTGGGATAGGTTTCCCTTTGGTATCATGTCTGGTTGCACGCATATTTTCGGAGCCTCTTCTGGCATTCAAACATAGGCATGTAGCTCATGCGCTAGAGCAAACTTGTCAGCTGATTATTCAGCTCAGCAACAAGCAACTATCTGGCCCATCATGATTTGATCCATGCTGCTGCACGAATCTAAGTGCAGTGGTTCCAGTGTGGTAGCCGCACGCCCACGCGCCCGACTCAACCCCCCCTCCCCCCTTTTAAACCCCCAAAGTCCTAAACCCTGAGCTGCCCTAAGCCGAACCTTCATGCTCCTAAAACCCAAAGTTTAGAAGCAATCCATGATAAGCCGTTCCCTAGGAAAGGAGCCTCAGAGGCTCCCTTTTCTGCCCTAGCAGGACCGACGCAGTTTGGGCAGCTCTACGGACCATGTCGAAGGAGTGAGGGGGGCTGTAGGGTTTAGGGTTTAGGGTTGATTCTGATTTTGTTCAAGGTTTTAGAGGTTGGGGGGTTTTGGGGTTGTAGAGAGGGTGCAAAGAGAGCGTTTTAAGTTCTTTTTTGAGAAGGGTTGGGAGTTTTGGGGTTGCAGAGCGGGTTTGGGTTTTGGGGCTTGCTATGGTGGCCTTCTGAACCCCCCTAAACCCTAAACCCTGAACCCTAAACCCTAAACCTAGAACCCTAAACCCTAAACCCTAAACCCTAAACCCTAAACCCTAAACCCTAAACCCTAAACCCTAAACCCTAAACCCTAAACCCTAAACCCTAAACCGTAAGCACACTGCCGTGCAGAGGAACTCTTGGACGTGACGCCGAAATCGATGTGGCTTGGCCGATGGCGTGGGACAGGGCAGTGCACTTTGTTACGTCTGATGGCCACAAGCCTTAGACTCTAAACCCTAAACCCTAAACCTTGAACCCTAAACCCTAAACCCTAAACCCCAAACCTTGAACCCTAAACCCTAAACCCGAAACCCGAAACCCGAAACCCTAAACCCTAAACCCTCAGCATCCCTCATCCCTCCCAGCCATATGCAAAGCCTTTGGGTGGAGAAGCCCAGGAAAGAGTCCTTAGCGTCGCGTGTCGCGCTCAAAAGCGCCAAGCCACCCGACGGGGCGGTCAAGGAGGAGCCGGAGCCCGAGAAGGAGGCGCGGGGCTGTTGACCCAAAAACGAAGAAAGAGGCGACTTTTTCTGCACCCTTTAAGCACACATGGTTCGACGGCTGTATCTGGTTGTACTTGTAGTCACAGTTTCAGCAGCATGAGCCCCGACAGCAGTGCAGTTCACACTGCATTGTACAGGATTGCTTTCAAGTCGAGCTGTAGCATGTGATGCATCCAGCTTCGTGCCCAGGAAGTTGTCGTGGACGACTTGCCCTGAGTTCCGGCAGGGACAAGCCAGGATCCTCCCTGTCGCAAGCATCCCCGTGGAAGCAATCTTAATTTCTGTGCCCTTCGAAACTGGCAGGAGTTGGAGCAGCGGCTTAGCGTTTTGCTGCACTTTCATGGGACCTGATTGCTTGTGATGCTATGCGCTCGTGTAGCTCAGTTTGAAGAACAGTAGGGTGCTGAAGCTCAGAGCTTCCTTCCCAGCAAAAGAAGGCAGCCTTTGCCTTGTAGTGCTGGGAAGATCCGTTTCCCCTCATGTTCCCCCGATTACGCGGGCCGGTGACCCCGGGTTTTGGCAAAAGAAACAGCCAGTTGCGGAGGCCTGTCGGCAGATCTTGCTGTGCTCTGTCTTGCGCTTCGCTTTCTTGCGCTCCCCGCAGGTGGCGCTGGTGGAGCAGGATCACGAGTGGGGAGGTGGCGGTGATTCGCCTGGCTCTTATATAGATACTTCACGGATGGGTGCGGATGGCATCGGACTCCAGCGCAGAAAGAGGGCTCGTCTGATCCTATAGAGGTCATCCTCCGGGTCCTCGACGCCACCGCGACAGCGAGCTCGAGGTGCACCTGGCTACGACTTCCAAGACTGCGGTGCCAGGTCAGTTCCAGAGAGTAGTAGATAGTAGCAGTCAGAAGCAGGTGTAAGGTTTTTTTTTTTTTTTTTTCCGGCTCTTGCCGGGCATAGCCATTCCATTCTGTCCCTGCTGTCCGGCTCAACAGCTGTGCACCATGATGTGCATGGAGGGGAAGCCAATTTCCCACCGCACAGTCTAAGAGCTTCCTACAGAAAGGCCTTGGCCGACAAGAAAGACCCTGGACTAGTGCCGGCTGAACATTCACCAGAAAAGCACTGAAGGCCGCTTTTGAAACCACAGTGTCAGGCGATGTCAGTCACATCTGAGTGTAAACTTTCGAACAACCTCCCCCCTCACAGGCACCTTCTGAAACACACACACACACACACACAAGCGGCTACTTCTCTACTGCCCTCACTGCCCTCGTAGCGTGAACATTCCGGGATCTGTGGGCAGAGTGGCCCGAATCGACTCGGATCCGCGCGACCATGCCGTGGGGCGGCGGCGGCGGAAGCAAGACAGCTCTTGGGCTCTGGGTGCGTTTGGGTGGTTTCTGAAGAAGGGGGGGGGGGGGCCTCTTTGCCTCGTTTAGAGGGCAGCTGCGGCTGAAAACAATCTTGGGTTTCACGAGTTTGAGTCCGGATATGCAAAAAAAAACGTCACACGAGTGCCGTCGGACATGCGCAGCGCTTGCGCACGGACCCTGACAGGAGCAAGCTCAGTGGCAACCCTGGCAGCATCAACAGGCTCGGAGGCAAAAAACCCGAGCAGATAAAAAGATGGAGCCCGCAGCATCAACCCCTAAACCTTTCCTGAGGGGCCCTTCTACCCCAATAGTAGGATCCTGATGTTTCAGTATTTTTTTTGGGGCCCCCTTAGGGTTCAGGGTCTAGGGTTTAGGGTTTAGGGCTTAGGGTTTAGGGTTTAGGGTTTAGGGTTTAGGGATTAGGGTTTAGGGTTTAGGGTTTAGGGTTTAGGGATTAGGTTTAGGGTTTAGGGTTTAGGGTTTAGGGTTTAGGGATTAGGGTTTAGGGATTAGGGTTTAGGGATTAGGGTTTAGGTTTTAGGGTTTAGGGTGTAAGCATCAGACCTTAGATTCAAGAACGCGAAGCCGAAGGGCCCATGGCCCGGCATTGGAAACAACCGCAGCCAAGCCTTGACTCTGAAACCAAGGTGACAAGAGGGGCTTGGGGCTTGGGTTTTAGGGTTTGGGGCTTGGGGTTTGGGGTTTAGGGTTTGGGGTTTAGGGTTTAGGGTTTAGGGTTTGGGGTTTAAGGTTTAGGGTTTGGGGTTTAGGGTTTGGGGGTTTCGGGTTTGGGGTTTAGGGTTTGGGGGTTTCGGGTTTGGGGTGTGCAAGAGATAGGGTTTCGGGTTTTGACTTTCTTTGAAAGTAGCTTTCATGGAGCCCCAGCCCAGCGAAGTTCAACTCTGACCCTTCCTAATGTCCACGCATAGCTGGGTTTCGCATGCCGGGATTGATTCGGAACACATTTTGAAGTTCTGTTCCCTTTCGCATCTAAACCCAGAGAAGTGAAAAAACTTCGATCAGGCCGTGAATTCCACCCCAGAAGACACCCTAACTAAACCCTAAACCCCAAACCCTGAACCCGGCCTAAACGCTGAACCCTACATCCCCCTTCCCCCTTTCAAACCCAGAGCCCCACACCCTGACTGCCCCAAAGGATGGCTGGGGACCTTCCGCCAGACACCTCGGAGGTGGAAGCGTTTTGTTTCACTGATAGGGTTTAGGGTTCAGGGTTTAGAGTTTAGGGTTTAGGGCTTTCTGAATATGGGGGTGCCTGACTTGCGGGGTTCCTGCAACGAGGCTGGTCGTATTTTGAATTACATTAGGGGGTCGCGCATTTTTGAGGAATGCCCATATCATTTTCTCGTTAGGCTGGCTTGAGGATTTTTGGGTCTCGGGGAGTTATGGGGGGGTCTTACAGCTTTGCGGTCTCTAGGGCTTTAGGAGGTCTTAGGGTTGTAGGATCTCAACAGCACGAAAACCTAAGCCTGGGGATACTTTATTTAAGTTCCTGGGGGCTTTTCGGGCTTCAGGGGCGCTCATGTTCGGATTTAGGGATTCCTTACGGATCCAGGCTGCGGATTTTGGGATTCCTTAAACTTTCTTGGGCTCATGCCTACGTGCCTTGGAGTGCTTGTGGGGTTAGGATGTCTGGTTTGTCAAAATATGCTTAAAAACCCGATGTTTCTGCGTTGTGGGAATCGTGGGTTTAGTGCTTCCACCCTTGAGAGCATAGATGTGTCACCGGACTTGCAGTCTGGATGCTGTGGTAGCATGGACAGCGTCCATGCTACCAGTGCATCCATTGGCCGCAGCACCATTCCCGAACGATGGTACCGTCCATGCTACCAGTGCATCCGAAATGCAAGTCCTATGCTCTCAAGATTGGAAACCCTAAGCCCACGATTCCCGCAACGCAGCAACATCGAGCTTTAGCACCAGACCATCCCAGTTGTGCTTCTCATGCCAGATTTTTGTTGCTTAAAACAAAAGACGCGGGCAAACGAGCCGATCCACCCTAAACCCAGCAAGGCCAAAAAGTTTGAAACTTACCTTCGAAACCCAAAAGCTCCACAGCCCCCCAAATGCTACACCCCACCCTAAATCAAAGCCCTAATCCCTTAATACAAACCCTTAAAGCGGCCCAAAATCCTTAATCCCAAGCCCTGTAAATTGGGATAGTCCCCCTTATACTAACAGTCCTTAAAAGGATTCCCCCCCCCCCCCCCCATTATCATCCCCCCATTAAGGACTGTTTTTAAGGGGGAACCTCCCCCAAACCCTAAACCCTAAACCCTAAACCCTAAACCCTAAACCCTAAACCCTAAACCCTAAACCCTAAACCCTAAACCCTAAACCCGAAACCCGAAACCCGAAGCCCGAAACCCGAAACCCTAAACCCTAAACCCTAAACCCTAAACCTTACACCCTACAAGCCCTAACCCTTCAGGGTCACAAGCCGGCGTCTCTGAACCTCACGGCCGTGCTGATGGGTCGGGGGGCGCGCGTGGCCTCGTCGCAAGGCGCGGCATTGGGGGGAGGTTTGCGGCTTGGGTTGGTGGTTTATAGGGTTTAGGGTTTTAGGGTTTTAGGGTTTAGGGTTCAGGGTTCAGGGTTTAGGGTTAGGGTTTGGGGTTTAAGGGTTGGGGTTTTTGGGGTTTTAGGGTTGTAAAATGGACACTGGAACTTTCCCCGAAGCCCTAAACCTGCCACTGAGAAGCCCCCCTAAGTACCCAAGTAGGCCAGAAGTAGACTTATCATCAGTGAACATGTGAACCCCAGGAGTAGGCCCCAGAGAGCCGCTGTGCCAGGCATCAACGCCCACCACCGGGCTCCGATGCCTGGGGCGCCAACATCTGCCCTGCCCGGGGGCACAGCCCAGGGCACATCTCCTCCCCAAACGCCTAAAACCCTAAACCCTAGACCCCTTGTTTTTAGGGTTTTAGGTTTTAGGGGCTTCATGGGTTTAGGGGTTTCAAGGGTTTAGGGGTTTAGGGTTTAGGGCGTTTGGGTTTTGTTGGTTTTGGGTTTAAGAGAGGTTTTAGAAGGGATGCTTGCCAGAACCAGATCCCCCTCAGTTGCCAGCGCTTGCGCCGACGCCCAGGAGTTCACTCCCAACGAATTGGAAGATGCCGGATTGGATCAAGCCGGACTCACACATTTGCGGCTTGCATGAGGAACTGGTTGTGGGTGATCTCGTTCATGTCACACCCTCTGCCTGCCACTGACAGGGAATGCTGCCCCTGCACAGTCTTCACAACATGCTGCGGCAGAAGGTAACCAGGTGGCTGCTTTTATCAAGCCTTGCACATCCTGCAGGTTATAACTCCCGAAGCACCGGCGAGAAGGTAGAGGTGGTCGTCGAGATGGTCAACACCGCGAAGCAGGAGGCTCTTCAATCGGTGTAAGATGGCTCTTATTTGGGGTGATTTCCCCAAAACTTATTTGGAGCGATTTCCCCAAAACTTTGCCCATGTTTTTCTGAGGTTCCTATAAGAAAGATTTTTCGCACATGTGGCCAAAACTCCAGGAACTTGACAGCTCGAAGCCCCGAGCCCTTCTGGCGGTTGTCAGATTTTGGTGGGTTCTACGAGGACCCTCATATGGGGGTTTGCGAAAACATGGGAACCCTAAATTAGAGCTGCACATAGAGTAGGATTCCCTTAGGATAAGGACCCCAAGAAGGTACCTGATTTTCGGAACCCTCACATAGAGCAATTCCTGTCTGAGCCCCCAAAGCGTGCGCAGGTAGAAGTTACGGGCGTCAGCGTGCCGGGATTCCTGAGAGTGATCCCTTTCAGCGTCATCGTGCCCTGTCTGCAAGAGATGCTCTTTCTATGTGCCCCGTGCCAACCTACCTTCAGTGCTTGCGCACATGTTTGATGGTTGTTGCATTGTAGAGTGTAATGATGGGCAACCCAAGCTCCGAATTCTGACGTTTCGATGGTAGACATCAAAACCTGGACCGCTAAACCGTGGCAGCAAGCCGAGCAGGCGAGCGCCATGAATCCGCTCTTCCCACCGGAGGCCATGGTGCCTTTTCTTGCTGGAGAGCTCCCTGTTGCTGTTGTGACGGCTTCTGCCAGCACGTCGCCATTTCATGGTGTTTTTTTGCGTTCCTGAAGGCCTTGTCGAAGGGAGAGGCGGACGAGGAGAAGGCCTGCGCAACATCCCTAAGCCCTAAACCCTAAACCCCAGACCCTGAACCCGAAAAGTCGGAGACGTCCTCCTGAGCAACGAGCTTTCCCATCCGAACGCTCTGCGGAGGTGGAGGGCCCTCAGGTGGAGGGAGCCGAGGATCCAGGTGCAGTGGACCTTACGCGTGAGCGCAGCCGACCCTCGGACCTCGGACATCTCCACATGCGTGCTTAGGGTTTATAAGGGTTCAGGGTTTAGGGTTTAGGGGGATTTAAGGTTTGAGCATAGTACGGACTCGAAGGTTTGGGGGTTTGGGGTCTCCTTGTGAGTTTCGGCAGTGGCAAGGCGTAAGGCGCCCCAAAGGCCTATCGGAGGATAGCAGAAGCTGGTGGCCTGAATTCATTGGGCTGACAGCATGAGCTGTCGGGTCTTCCGTGCTGTTGGTAGAAACACTTCTGATTCTTGGCCCAGCTCGGGCCCTCTGAGACGTCTGAACCTTAAACCCCACAAGGCCAGTACAGAAGAATCCACACCGTACGATGAGCAGAGTGCAGAGAGCCCGAGGAAGTCGATCTGGAAAGCGGTGACAGGGCGCCTTGGCAGAGAGACTTTTGGAGCTTCCGAATCCCAAAGAATCCTCACAAGAGTCCGCGGCCTGGCATCCCAACCACCTGCACCCCACTTCCCAGTGAGGTTCGAGGCGGGGTTTGTGCTGCCCGCTTGTTGCATGCCCAGGCCGACGCCGGCCTCGTGTGAGCTGAGCAGTGCTGAGTCGGATCTCAGAGGGCTACGGGCACAGTTTGGGTGCAGTTCAGGCTTCAGGATTCGTAGATTCTCGGCGAAGAGAGGCCGGGACTGGATAGCCCGAATATTCCTGTTGTGCTTCATTACGATTTCTATGACTACGTTTAGTATGATTTGTATTTCTATTATCGTCGTGTTGTTGTGCATCCAGCAAGCAGCGGGTACAGGGAGTCCAGTCTTGGAGCATCTCGCCGGTAGGAGGGCCCAACTAAACCCACGCAGCTTTGCCAGAGCCGATCATTCCATCATGGTTTTCGGCTTGAAGGTATAGGCTTAAAGGCGGATGAGATGACATTCCCTCCCCCCCCAACCCCCACCCCATACTCAGAACTGGCAGAGCCGGCTGGAACGCATCGTTCGCTTGGCAGGGAGAGCAGAGAAAAGTCGCATCCCCAGCAGCTTCGTACGTTTCTCTGATCCCTGGCGAAATCCCGAACCCTAAGCCCCAAAATGTGAACTTCAACCGCGAATTCTCACCTGGAGGGAGGCAGGGCGGAAATTGCTGCAGCTCTGGCGGCACGCCCCATCATTACGCCCCTTGATGCTTAAGCCCTACTCACAGGCTCAAAGCCCAGGTCATGAAGCCCTAAGCCTTGAGCCTTTACCCTCGACAAAGAGCCCAATACCCCTTCATTCAGGAATCGACCTTTTCATTTATGTAGGGATCCTTCATCTGATTTAGGGTTGGGCTCCCCTCAGCCCAAAACCCCAAACCCGAAGCCCTACGCCCTAAACCCTAAGCCCTAAGCCCCAAACCCCCTAAGCCCCAAACCCGAAGCCCCTTCTGGCCGCGCCAGCTGCGGAGCCCGTGAAAGCGGTGGACTTCGCGAATGAGGCCGTCGCGGTTGTGGAGGCCTCCGATGTTGTCGAGAAGAGGATGAAGGGGGGCGTAGGGTTCAGGGTTTGGGGTTGAGGGTTTAGGGTTTAGGGGTTTAGGGTTTAGGGGTTTAGGGGTTTAGGGGTTTAGGGGTTTAGGGGTTTAGGGGTTTAGGGGTTTAGGGGTTTAGGGGTTTAGGGGTTTAGGGGTTTAGGAGAGCATGGGGGGCCCTGCAAACTTCCCGGGGTCACGTGCTTAGTGCGCGCTTCCCACTTCGATGACTTCAACGCTGTTCTAGATTCGAAGCGGCTCACACCGGCACCCTGAACCCCTACACCCCCCCAAGACCCTAAACCCTAAACACCTAAACCCTAAACCCTAAACCCTAAACCCTAAACCCTAAACCCTAAACCCTAAACCCTAAACCCATACAGCCGCAGGTGGAGAAGGAGTGGGAGGGCGGCTTCGGTGACTCCTCCGATGACGAGGCCTTTTTTTGGAGCCTTCAGCATCCATGCACCCAAAGCCCCAAAACCCTGGACGGTTCAGGGCTTTACATAGCTTCGTAGGGTTTGCGGGGTTTCGGGTTTAGGGTTTAGGGCCTAGACCTGGATCCGGTTTCCTAAAATTTTCCTCAGCCCTGAGAGGACGTCAGTGCAACGATCGCCAGACGAGGGGAGGAGGGGGCACCGAGGGCGGCTGTTGCTGGCCAATTTGTTTTGGGTTTAGGGTTTAGGGTTTAGGGTTTAGGGTTTAGGGTTTGAGGGAGGGCTTGGAGATGGTTTGGGGCTTGCCTCTAGGGCCGGAGGGCCATGCAGAAGTGGACTTCTCTGCAAGTACCCTAAACCCTAAACCCTAAACCCTAAACCCTAAACCCTAAACCCTAAACCCTAAACCCTAAACCCTAAACTCTAAACCCTAAATAAACCCTAAACCCTAAACCGTGTCAGCGATTCGGGGAGTCCTCTCCGGCTTTGCCAGGAGCGAAGGCGGCAGCTCAAGCAGCGCGAGGATGCCGTTGCCGGCCGACCCAGCAGGGAAGTGTGCAAAGCCAAGACTAATGGCAAAGCCCCGAGGTTTCCCAAGATTGTTCCCCTCCTTCTGGCTGCTACTTGCAATGGAAAGCCCCAAACAATCCCAAAGAATGTCGTTCGGATCTGGGAAGCCCGGGAGTAGCTGCAGGTGTAGGTGTAGGTGCAGGTCAAGGTCTAGGTCTAGGTGTAGGTCTAGGTGTAGGTGTAGGTGTAGGTGCACACCCATTCCCTTCCTCTCAAAGTTGCGCGCGCCACAAGGTCAACACTCACGGTCTGTCAAAACACAAGAAATCCAGACCATTTTCCTTTCCACACCCAAGCCTCAGAAACCTTAAGCCCTCGAGCCCTACAACTAAACTCCTCAACCTGAAGCCCTAAAATCCTTGAGACCCCAAAGCCCCCCAAACCTAAAGCCTGAAAGCCTTGAAGCCTCCCAACCCACTCTACGGAAAATCAATGTACCCGAAACCGTCTACATATATAGGGGGTCCCGTCTCTCGAATCCGGGCATCTTCCTTGCGTCACGGGGCTGCTGCTTGGAGGTTCATGGTACGTAATAGAATTGTACTTATAACCGAATTACAACCATAATAGGGCACTTAAAGGGCTTATAAGTGGGTTGTAAGTACAGTTATAATTGGGTAATAATAGTACCATTGAGCCTCCAAGTGGGTCTCCGTTCCCAGGCGGCCACCAGCGCCACGTTCTCAGCCAAAGCCTCCCCCTCTCCGTCCTCGCCGGCGCCAAAGTCGCGGCCGAGCCAGGCTGTGGTTTATTTAGGGTTTGGGGTTTAGGGTTTGGGGTTTGGGGTTTAGGGTTTAGGGTCTCGGGGTTTCTGTAAGCCCTGAGCCCGGCACCTTAGAAGCCCCCAGATGCTCTAACTAAACGCCCTAAGCATAGCAAAACCCAAAGCCGTCTCCTCAAACCCTAAGCTTATTGTCCCCCAAACCCCAAGCCCCAAACCCCAAGCCCCAAGCCCCAAGCCCCAAGCCCCAAGCCCCAAGCCCCAAGCCCCAAGCCCCAAGCCCCAAGCCCCAAACCCAGAACCCCAAACCCAAAACCCCAAACCCTAAACCCCAAACCCAAAACCCCAAACCCTAAACCCTAAACCCTAAACCCTAGACCCTAAACCGCTTCTCCCGAATCCCTGCACACCGCAGCCACCTGGCAGGTCGGTGCTCGGCGATCCCACGGCGGCTCGGATACGATGGACACCTCCGAGTCGAGCCCTGGGGCCAAGTCTCATGGGTTTAGGGTTTAGGGTTTAGGGTTTAGGGTTTAGGGTTTAGGGTTTAGGGTTTAGGGTTTAGGGTTTAGTTGAAGGGAGGGGTCGGAGGGCACTCTTGCTTGTTTCTTGATTGTTTCGGGAGGGGAGTTGGGGGAGGGGGGGTTTGGGTATCAGAACTTTTGGATTTCTGGGGGCTCTGGCGCTTGCGAGGCAGCTCACACACTCGCTCCCAGATCCTCGCGCGATCCAGGACAGGTCAGGGCAAGGGAGCCCTCGACCCTAAACCCTAAACCCTACACCCTAAACCCTAAACCCTAAACCCTAAACCCTACTTTCGAGGGTCTTCTCTAGCAAGCAAGAGACATGCTGGGAGGAGCTTCATCCGAAGAGGCGCCGCGCCTGGGCATCCTTGGGCTCGGGCTTTAGAGGCGTTGGGAGTCAGAGGAAGAAGCGAGAAAGGGAATCCCGACCCGAAACCCTAAGCCCTAAGCCCTAAACCCTGAACCCTAAACCCAAAACCCAAAACCCTAAACCCTAAACCCTAAACCCTAGAGCCACACGCCTCGAAGCCCCCTCACGCCCTCCCTTACGACCCCCCCCTCCTGCAAGATCTCATGGCGAAGTGCTGGAGGGCTACCTTCGGATGCCCGGAGCTCGGCCCATTTGCCCCTGGAAGCGGTTTAGGGTTTAGGGTTTAGGGTTTAGGGTTGAGGGTTTGGGGTTTAGCGCTTTTTCGGGCCTCTTTCCTTTGGGCCTCGCCTGTGAGGGTCTTAGAAGGGGCTTAGGCTCCCACACAGGAGCCAGGGTGTTGGGAGCACAAGAAGCTTCTTTCCTAGCAAAGCCTAAGCCCAAGAAGCCTTTGGATCCGAAGCACCCTCAGAAAGAGGGGATGTTAGCGGGTTACCAGTCGCCATGATTTAGGCTGCGCCGTCCGTTTGAGTTGGGCTGCAAGCCCGCCCTAGACCCCAAGCCCCAAACCTTAAACCCTACAAGACCCGAAAGCTTGAACCCCGAAAACCCGGAATCAAGCAGTTCAGCAGGGTGTTGCCAAAGGGGGGCCCTCCCTTGCCAGGGTACGGTGGCTTCCTCGCTTTTACCCTGCTCCACTTCGGGGACTTCATCCTCCGCGCCTGGGGGCCCGAGGGTCTGGAGTGGAGTATCGATTGGTTTAAGGTTTAGGGTTTAGGGTTTAGGGTAGCCCTTGACTGCGTCTATCAAACAGAATCGTTTTCCGAGACTCCCAAATGCTGAGCCCTGCACCCTAGAACCGTAAACTTCGAACCCTTAACCCGAAGCCCTCAAGCAGCCTCCTGGAGAAAGCTATTTGTCCAATACTGGGAACAAAGTGAGCCTGGAGGGTGATAATTCTATGGTGCTGCAGCGGCTATCATACAGGTGCCATAAGTACTGTAAGGACACTTCTCGACAACACGTTCTATTTTTCGAGGTCCTTTGTGTAGCCGGCACCGATATGGGTACCCAAAAGGGACAAGTACTTCTCAGAACTGACCATAATGCTATAGTAGCTCTCCTTTCGAGCTAGATATTGGGGGGCAGGGTGGGTGGGGGGTACCTTGGGAGAGTGCAGACAGGGCGCACCGTCGTCACAGGCGTGTGTGTCAGTTTGGCCAGAGGGTCCTCCGAAGTTGAGCTTCGTGGCGTTGTTCTTCCCCCAATTTATATCGCCTGTGGAAAGTCGCTTCCTGCAGGTCCCCCGCATGACCACAGCAACTTTGGGCCACATGGGCAGCTCAGGTGTGGAGCATTGCCGAGTACATCGAGCTCGGGCTCAAAATTCCAGCGTTCGTGTGCCTGGTGCCCTTGCAGGCACGAGGGGCCGGCGGCCGGCAGTGATCTCAGATTGCAAACCCTAAACCCTAAACCCTAAACCCTAAAACCTAAACCCTAGACCCTAGACCCTAGACCCTAAACCCTACAAGGTTTGTAGCAACTCCTGGTTGCAACAGGTAATCGGGGCCCTGCTATCCATCTACATCACGCCCTCGCCTCGGAGAGGATCTCCGCGCTCTTGGTTCTTGGGGGGTTCACGGCTTTGTGTGGGCAGCCTTGGAGGTTTCACGATGCGGACGTGCTCCTCATCCTGCACAATACCTCGGGGTGGTCGCAGCCTAATTCATTTTTTACCTTCTCGTGCTGCTGCAGATAGCCCAAGGACGTGGTCTGTCGTCACGTAAACGTGGGGGTCAGGTCACAAGGAATCCAAACGTGGTAACCGCCGGTAGCCAAAGCAGAGCATATACCGAGCCAAAGACAACATAGATTTTGACATTGCGGCGTCGTCCCTGCATGCTGCTGCAGGCAGAAGGTGTGTGTTGCTGTCCTCTCCTTCATCTTCCTTGGCTGCTGCCAAATCATTCAGGCCAGGAGGGCTGACTTCATAGAATGAGCTCAACATGATACCTGCCGTGCAGCACCCCCTGTCTCCCTCTCTCATTAACACAGGTCTCTCTCTCTCTCTCTTCTTTCGCTCTCTCGCTCTCGCTCTCTCGCTCTCTCGCTCTCTCGCTCTCTCGCTCTCTCTCTTTCTCTCTCTTTTCGCTGTGTTTCTGTCTTCTCGTCCCTCTCGCTCTAACTCTTCCCTCAGTCTTTGGGTTTCTCATTGTCTTTTTGCTTCTGCGAACCCGCCCACGCACGCACCCGCCCACCGGCTCACTCACTCACTCACTCCAGCCCCGCGACTTCCTGCCTGGTTAGTAGGGAATGAAAGAATGGTAGCAATAGTAGCTACAATAGTGGTTCATTCTTTCATTCCCTACTAACCAGCAGTAAGATTAGTGAGAGCTGCACAGTTGCAACAAGGAGGGGGGTCCGGCAAAGATCGCAGGTGAAGCGTGCGTGGTCACGGCAGCTGCACGATGCAGAGGCTGGGCATTGAACCCCCCCAAGCCTGGACGCAGCTCCAGCAGCCAGCTGCTGCTTGGAGGTTCATGGTACCTAATAACCCAATTATAACTGTACTTTGAACCCAATCATAGCCATAATCGGGCACTTAAGGGGCGTATGAGTGGCTTAGAAGTACAGCTATAATTGGGTTGTAAGTCCGATGAACCTCCAAGTAGGTTGTGATCGAGATGTCTGACAACGACTTGGGCGTTGAGCGGAAGGAGAGGGGGCTTTGCTGTAGCTGCCCAAACCCTAAACCCTCAAACCCCAAGCCCAAAGCCAAAACCTGAAGCTTCTACACCCCTCAACCCTTCAACCCTAACACCCTAAACCCTTAAAAACTCTAGAAACCCTAGAAACCCCAGAAACCCTAAACCCAGAAACCGAAGAACCTACCAAATATAGGGGTTTACCCTCAAAAAACCCTGCTTAGCAGCCGAAAACCCGACCGAGCCAGGAGTCCACCTACGACGAGCGGGCGGCCAACGCCTCGAGCCTCCACGACTTCGGGGCGGCCGAGGTGGGATAGAAGACTTATGGGGTTTAGGGTTTAGGGTTTAGGGTTTAGGGTATAGGAAGGGGGTTTAGGGTTTCCGAAATTAGGGGTACAGTATTGGGGTCCTCTTTATCAGGGGATTTTACCCTTCGGGGACTCTATTTGGGGTCCCGCGTCTTCGTAAACGCCCAAAAACCCTACTTGGAAGTTGGCTATAAGTCGACGTATGATTGGGGCCTTTAAGTACCCATAAACCTCCAAGTATGAAACCTAAACCCCCTAAACCCTAAACCCTAAACCCTAAACCCTAAACCCTAAACCCTAAACCCTAAACCCTAAACCTAAACCCTAAACCCCCTAAACGCCCTCATGTCCTCTCGCTCAGCGCATCACCCCGGTGGCGCTGCTGACCGGGGTCCCCTTCTTGCTGGTTCACTCCATGAACTCCGCGGCGTGCCCCTGCTCCGGAGGAACTCTCCGGAAGTCCCTTCGGAATTTTTTTCTGGGGCGTTTGGGGCTTATTTTGGGGTTTGCTCGGCGTTTTGTGGAGGGTTAGTTAGGTTTAGTGGAGTGTATTAGCGGTGTGAGTGAGGGTTTAACAGATACGTCCGAGCTCAAGTCTACACTTATTATCTTGGTAGTCCCACACAACAGGACCTCAGCTCCCCCATTGTGTTAGCCCAAGAGGGGGTTATTCGTCTAAAATTAGGGTCGGCCTCTTGCAAAGACATTCCACGACACATGGCGGCAGCTGTTTCGGGCGGTTTTCTGCGAAGTCCCAGCACACACACACACACCTCACTCAGCACAGGTACGTGCAGATGCAGTCAGGCCACAAGTGGCTGATCTCCTGGTGGCTCACCACCGTGGTGCTGATCTTGACAGTCAGCTTCGGGACCCCTCTCTGCTAGGCTCCTCATTTGCCGCATCTGGGGGTTTCCGACAGTGCGAGGGGGTACCTTATCGGGGGCCTTAATGTAGGGAGTCCTGCTATTTTGGGGTCTATTCGGGGTCCCGTGTTTTTCGTAAACCCCAAACCTTGCACTTTTCCCACCCAGATGCGCCCGGCCGCGCAGGATTGTGGACATCGATGTCTCGGTTTCCTCCTATGTGGTGAAGCGCTACCAGATGAACTCCCAGGCACGCGATGGAAGCTCAAGGGGGAGGAAGGGGGGGTGGGATCTGCAGGGTTGAGTTACAGCTGTATGCGACAGTTTCAGGCATACAAGATTTCTCACTCGTGCCTCCTTCCTCAAGCCCAAGACATCAGTCCTGGAACCTAGTGCGGCGAAACTCTGAGATCTTGCCCCAAACCCCAAAACACCCCGAAACACCCCAGCACTCGCCCATGTGCCCAGAGCCGGATCCCTCGCTGGATACAGCGCCTCTTCAAGCTGCTGCACGTGCTCTTCCGCCTGAGTGAGGCGGCTGGCTGGAGTTGCTGTTTCGAGGAAACCCTAAACCCTAAACACCAAACCCCAAACCCTACACCCTAAACCCTGTGGGGGGAATGGGGGTTTGGGTTTGCAATGGAGTACCGAAGACCTCTCAGCCAACCTCAGCCAACCTCCAAACAGGCAAGCCGGAGCCCAAACTCCAGACACGAAGCATCTGCTCGTGTTGCTAGGGGAGCCCCAAGCCGCCCTAACCCTAAACCAAGTGCTAAACCTGGCCAAGGTTATAAGGACTGGGTCCAGTCTCGGGGGTGTTGTGTTGGGGGGAGGGGGGCTTTCGCGCACGACCCGGTCAGGGAGCGAGGTCTGTCAAGACGCTACTACAATATGCACCGATATTCGAGAATGACTAATGTGCTATGACTGTCTAATGTACCATGGCTGCAGTAGAATACCAACCCGTAGACACCCCATCCGAGCGAACAGTTTGTGCAGCGCAGGTTTGTCTGCGACTCCAAGTGCTGGTGAGCCTGGTCACGGTTCACAACCTTCTCCGGCAGCAGCAGCAAGAGGCTGACAATGAGTTTCGATATGGGAAGTCTTTAAAAAGGAGGTAAGGGACCATATTCAGGGACCATATAACCACCCTTAGATGACAGGGTTCTTAAGGGAGGGTCCCTGAAGAACTCTATAGTTTCGGGTTGGGATTTCGGGTTTCGGATTGAAACCCAAAGCGCTCTGGACAAAAAACGCCCTAAATCTGGTACGCAGGAGCTGGGGCCCAACAACACAGGACAGATCGGCAGCACGAGCCAGGACCAAGCACAGTTGGATGGTTTAGGGCTTATGACTGTGAAGTTTGTGGAGTTTTGATGAGTTTTGGGTTTGAGGACTGCTCAGGGGGTTGTGGAGTTTAAGTTTAAGCTTCAGGGGTCTAGAGGCTTAGGTGTGTTGCTTTTTTGGATGAAGGGCTCCTCGGTGCCCAGGAGGTCTGGGTGCTGATCGTCCTGGTGCTTGCCGACTACTGCGCGAGACTCTTCAGGGGGAGGGGGGTTCATCTGAGCTATGACTATGTTTCAAATTTTAGTTTAGGCTCGCAAGGAGGCCCATGCCAAGCAAGCTTCAGAACGCCAGCCGGGTGTGCTGCCCACCAAAAGAAAGTCGGCTGCACGTCTGGAGGCACATTTCAGTCGTCTCAAAGTCTTAGGCGTTTTCTCTGCTCTTCCCCTGCGCCCCCTCCTCTCGTAGTCTTAAAAGGGGCCCCTTACGCCATGGCGCAGCTCAAGAAGCTGCTGGGCGACATCGAGGCGATGCTGAAGAAGGTGGATGGGGGGATCGCCGAGTTCGACTCGCTGATGGACAATCACAAGCATGCAAGCCACTTAGGGGTACTTGGAAATAGTTTTTAGTTTTCGGGTACTATACTTCCTAAGAAACAGCAAAAACATATTTTTTTGCTAGGGTTTTCCAAGTTCAGTATAGGCCAGCCGAACCAGCGCGAGAAGTACGAGGAGAACATGAAGGCCTCCATCAAGAAGCTCCAGCGTGACAGGACCCAGCTCTCGACCTGGATCTCCGACAAGGGCGTGAAGGAGAAGTCCGCCCTGTTGCTTGGTCATAGTTGGCGATCATTTTACATTTTTAGAGGGATACTTAAACCCTCTAAGGAATACAAATCTAGATTTTTAGTATTATCCCAACCATGAACTAGGTTGGAGGCGCGGTCGAAGATCGAAGTTCGCATGGAACGCCACAAGACCTTCGAGCGCGACGTGAAGAAGGGCCTCAACGAAGAGAGGATGGATCCAGACCAGGAGAAGCGAGCAGAATGTAGGGCTTGGATACGTGAAAGCGTGAACCAGTTGCTACAGGAGATTGATGAGTTCACAGCGGTCATCGAGCAGCTTCAGGCGAAGAAGGCATCGAAGAGCTCGAAGGATGAGTCTCACGCAGCCTTCAACAAGAGAATGCAGGAGTCCCACCGATGGCACGTCAACAAGCTTGAGCAGCTCTTGCGAAAGGTGGACAACCAAGAGATCGACCTCGAAGCCCTCGACGACTTGAAGGACATGCTGGAATGCTACCTGGACCCGGATCAGAACAGCCGGACACCGGAGGCCTTCCAGGCGTTCGATGACATCTACAACGACTTCCGCCTTGAGGAGGTCCAGGATTACCTCGCTCAGCGCGTTCCGAGTCATAAGGACGATGATCGGGACGAACGAGAGGAGCCCAAGAAGGAGGAGGCCAAACCCAAGGACCCTCCGAAGCACATGCCCAAGCCCGCGCCAACTGTCTCGGTGCACCCGGTGCACAAGCCTGTGGTCGAGGAGAAGGCAGAAGATGCCACTTCGAGCAGCGCTCCAGCAAAGACGGCAGCCCCTAAGCAGATCGCGACCAAGGCGGCGACTGCGGCCGCAGCAGTGATGCAGTCAGCTGCACCGCCCACGCCTTCGAACATGCCATCCCCACCACAGCAACCACAGCCGGGTCCTCCACCAGGTGTGGCTCAAGCGGGCCCCCAGGGCCCAACTCAGCCCCCTCCCAAGCAGCCACCACAGGTGGTGCAAGGGCAGCCGGACTTGGGTCTGCAGGCGGTGGCCAGTGCAGTCCCGCAACCCAGGCCCTTCTCTCCGCCCACACGGCCGCCCACCACCACAGCCTTACCCAACCCCAACCCATTTGAGCCGCCCAGCGTGCCGCCGCCCCCGCCCACACAGCCAGCGGCAGGCGCCCAGCCAGGACCCAAGAAGCCGCCGGTGCTAAACCGGGCCCCGCCCAGCGAGGCACCGCCGGCTCAGCCACAGGAGCAGGTGCCTGCCATGCCGGCCGTGCCTGCCATGCCTGCCGTGCCAGTGCCTGCTCCAGCTCCGGCAGTAGCGCCACTTCCTGATGCGAATCCGGGATTGCCGGCGGCCACGCCGGCGGCGTATGACGTTCCACCCCTCACCAAGGCGCAGGAGAAGGCCCACGCTCTTCTGGAATCATCCGCACGGCACATGCCCCAAGCCACGGATGTGCGAAGGAATAGGAAGTATCAGCCGCCGAACCCTTACATCCACGCAGACGCGCAAAGTCAGCCCATGTACCCTACGGAGACGATGCGGACTTTCGATGATCCTGCGCTTTACGAGAGGTTTGACCAGGACACGCTCTTCTGGTCCTTTTACTTCCAGCAAGGGACCTATCAGCAGTACCTCGCCGCCAAAGAGCTCAAGAAGCTGTCCTGGCGCTATCACACCAAGTACCTCACGTGGTTTCAGAGGCATGAGGAACCTCGGTTGACAGCACCAGACTTTGAGCGTGGAACTTACGTGTTCTTTGACTTCGACGGCCAGTGGCAGCAGCGAATCAAGGCCGATTTCACTTTCGAGTACGCGTGGCTGGAGTCTGGAGAGATTTGAATGACGTAAGACAGACGGTGCTAATGACCGCAAAGTACGAGTTTCACTCAGAGTCCGGGCGGAGGCATCAGAAGCATGTGCACAAAAGGCCTGCAATAGAGCCTGACGCCATATGAATCCTTGGGCTCTTGCGACCCACGCCCAAGGTCTGGGGGTCTACTTCCTATTTCAGCACTCGCCGCAGAAGGCAGGTCACTTTCCCTTGTTGCCATGCGAAATTCGCCCGAAGGTTGTAGCTGAAGCTGTGATGTTGTTGTGTGGTTTAGGTGGCTTAGCGTTTCCGTTGCAGTTCTTCACAAACTCGAAGCCCTGAGCAGGAAGGGGCCGTTGTGCACATTGCTACCGGCATCGGCCTGTACCGACCTCGGGACGCTCGCAGAAAGAGAAGCCGCAGCGCTTTGCTGCGCAGCAGAAAGCAGAAGCCTTGAAGCGATGCAGCCTAAGCCTGCTTTAGACGTTCGGGCAATGCGCCATGAGGCTGGTGGCAGACCTGGGCCATTTCATCGACATGCCGAACTTCTCGTTGGCGGCTTCCTGCCGGCAGGATGTTGGAAGCCATGTCGTGAACTACAGGGTTTAAAGGCTTAAACGTTCGGCCAGAAGGGGTTGCCCATCTTGCTCGGGGAGCACTTTTTGGGGCAATGGCTGTGAAAGCGACAACCCTTGCCACCACGATATACAGCAGTGATTGCGGTTGGGCGCGACCTTCCCTAAACCCTAAACTTTGGCCCTAAACCCTGAACTCTAAACCCTAAACCCTAAACCCTGAACCCTGAACCCTAAACCGTAAACCCTGAACCCTGAACCCTGAACCCTGAACCCTGAACAAACCAGCTAGGGCCGAGCCCGTGACAGCTAAGGCTCGGCGAATAAGCCGGAGGCCATGCAGAGACTGTTTTAGTCGTGCGCTGCACGACTGTACCCTCCGCGCTAGCTTTCCGCGTATATTGGAAGGTTTAGGGTTTAGGGCTTCGGGTTTCGGGTTTAGGCCTCAGGGTATATACTAAACCTTCTTGGAGGTTCAAGGTACGTCTAACCCCAACCATAACTGCACTTTTATGCCGCACAAGTCCGCTAAGTGGGTTATAGGTAGACTTGTAATTGCGGTTTCTCAGTACCCATGAACCTCCAAGTAGTAAATACTCATTCTAGGACCCAGAGTAGGCCCTTGTTCCTTCTTTTTTTGTTGCGGGCTGGTACCTTTTTTATTCAGAGGTTTTTTCTTGGGTCTAGTCATTCTACGTTTGCACATGCACACATGCACGTGCATTTCTTTCTATCTTCTTCTATACACATCTCAGGACCTGCAGTGTGCCACAGAAGCAAGTTGCTACCAAGACTTGCTGTCGTGAGCAGGTTGGCCGCGCTTCGCCTCATGCAGCTCTTTGCCCTTCTTGGTGTATCTTGGCTCGTGTCTATGTCAGAGGGTTTTGCACTTGGACTTGGATTCAGAGGTTTCGGGATGTCTTGCGAAGCGCCCGCCCTGGCGTGAGGCCGTGCGCATTGCCTTCTGATCTTGTCCGGGCACTTTTTTGAAACTCGCGGCCGCCAATGCTGCTCAGGTATACCACTGGGCTGGGGGCTCTGACGAACTCCGTTTGCGCAAAGAGTGCGACTTCTTGTTGAATGGCACTCAAAGGCAGCTGCTAAAAAAGCTGTGAGTGACCTCGGTTTGAGCGACCTTTCAACAAGTGGTCTTTGCTATGGTTTGGGTCGTCATGCATGTCTCTGCGTCATGCTTTCCTAGGATGCTGTCCAGGCTTTGAGCCTGGGCCAGACACACAGCTTAAGGTCTTCTGGAGAGAGGAGGATGGTACCTTCTATGATGGCCTGGTCCATGCGAAATGGCATCTGTGCTGCAACACAAGAGCGTCTTGAGTCCAGGTGTTTTCATGGAAGTCGCGATCCCCAGATCTGGCTATGCGCGTGCTGAGGATCTACATCTTTGCCCTCGCCCACTACTCGATTCGGTGCCATGCCAAGGTGGCAAGAACGTTGGCAAATGCTGGCAAGACCGAAAGCAGTTCAAAATCAGCCGTTGCATAGGCCTATATGTTGGGCTCGCGACATCCAGGCCCTTCAGCCCAGCCGTGCCTAAGGTTCGTTCTAATTATTTGGGCCTCATGTTTGATTGTTAAACTGTAGAGGAGACCTGTCAGGGGCTCCTACATCACCAAAACCCTCCCCCTCAACCCTAAACCCTAAACCCTAAACCCTAAACCCTAAACCCTAAACCCTAAACCCTAAACCCTGGACCCTCAACCCTCAACCCTCAACCCTCAACCCTCAACCCTCAACCCTCAACCCTCAACCCTCAACCCTCAACCCTGAACCTTTCATGTGGCTGAGGATCTCCCAACCCCTGTCCAAGCTGGGCCAAGACCTCCACACGGCTGCCGTGTATGGCGACATTGTCCTCACGAGGTGAGGGTTTGCGATTTAGGGTTCAGGGTTTTGGGTTTAGGGTTTGCGATCATCAGAGGACGCTATTATCCCCCCAAATCCTAGGTTTAGGGGATTAGGGTTTTGGGATTAGGGTTTATAGGGTTTATAGGGTTTAGGGTTTACGATCATCAGGGGCCCTTGATGTACACCAAACAGTAGGTTAGGGGGTTTCGGGTTTAGGGTCTAGGGTTGACGCTAATCAGGGACCCCCTTAATATAAACCACCAAAGGGGTAGGATTCCCTTATCATAAGAACCCGCACCCCCCGAATATCGCAACCCCCCAGGTGGCTTCAGGCAAAGGTCCCCTCACGTGAATTTGTTCAGCCAATGTTTTGGAGTATCTTCCTTGGTGGGACAAGGCTTCCTATTGTTCCATGGCCCAAAGCCCCTAAGTCGTGGGGGTTTAGGGTTTAGGGTTTAGGGTTTAGGGTTGCATGCCAGGAAGCTGCTCAAGCCTGACCAGAACGGGCAGGCGCCGTGGCTGTGCGGGGCGGAGTTACTTCTGGGTGCCCCCCCCCCCACCCCCCACCCCCCCTACCCCCCCCCACCCCCTGCTGGAGTAATCTGGTTATCTGGTTGCCGTTTCTGCAGGAGTGTTTCCATTGCTGGCATTCTTGCGGTCAGTACCTTCCACGGCACCCCCCAAACCCCAAACTCTACACCCTGCACCCTAAGCCCTACGCCAACCCTGAACCCTGAGCCCCTAAACCCTATCAGCCCTAAGCCCAAAACCCTGAACCCTAAGCCCTAAACCCCTAAACCCCTAAACCCCTAAACCCCTAAGCCCTGAACCGATGTTTTGGGTGGTAAAAACCCTTAACCCTAAGCCCTGAGTCCTGAACCCGCAACCTTGAACCGTTCCGAAATCAGGTGCTGGACGTGAACGCTGCGGCAAAGGACGGACGCGGCATGACGTGCCTCGGACCCGAGCCTTCTCGTCCATTTTCGGACTTAGGGTTAAGGGTTTCGGGTTTCGGGTTTAGGGGATTTAGGGTTTAGGGTTCGGTGGCTCAGCTGAGCGGGTTCAGGGATTAGGGGGATTTGGGGTTTGTGTGGGGGGTTGATGGTGTTTTGGGGGCCTTTAGGGTCTTGGGGGGTTTCAGGGTTTAGGGCTTAGATTTTTGGGGTTTCGGGTACTGGGGTTTAGGGCTTTAGGGCACAGTCTTGGATGTTTCAGTTTGAGGGTTGCAGGGAGGAAGGTTGGCGGTTTTGGGGCGATTCATAACACCCAAAGCCCCAAAGCCCTGACCCTAAACCCTAAACCTTAAACCCTAAACACTAAACCCGAAACCCCAAACCCCAAACCCTAAGCCCTAAACCCTAAACCCTACGCACCCTAAACCCCATCTCCCGTGATTTTCTCCCATATAGGCCGCTTATGTTGGCCTCGGCTGCGGGACATGTGGAGGCGGATGGCCCTGCCAAAGATGTTGCCGGGAAAATTATTATTATTATTATTATTATCATTATTATTATTATAATTATGATTATAATTATTATTATCATTATTGTGATTATTATTACCATTATTACGATTATCATCATCATCATCATCATCATCATCATCATCATCATCACTATTATTATTGTTATTATTATTATGATTATGATTATGATTATTATTATGATTATTATTATTACTATTATTATTATTATTACTAATATTAAAGTTTAGTTATTAATGTATGGGTATCTACGAAAAAACATGGTTTCCTTGTTGTGGTTCTTGCGCCGGAGCCTCCTGGACCCTAAACCCTGTGCCCTCTGCCCGAAATGAAGTTAAAGCTCCTGTACAACGTTTTTAATTGGGAATGGGGTTTCTCAGAGACTTAGCTTTTCTCAGCATGCCTTATCTGAGCGGCCTATGCCCTACACTCCAAGCCCTAAATCCCAAGCCCTAACCCCTAAACCCTATCTAAAGCCCTCAGCCCCGCAGGTCATCGAGGAGCTGGTGCACAGCGGTGCCCGTGTTGGCCTCCACACGACCTTGTCAGAAGAGACGCACGGGCCTGAACGGTTTAGGGTTTAGGATTTAGGGTTTAGGGTTTAGGGTCTAGGGTTTAGGGTCTAGGGTTTAGGGTCTAGGGTTTAGGCTTGAGGCTTTGGGCTTCAGGGCTTGGGGAAGATTACTAGGGACGGTTTGGGGCTTATGGGTTCAGGACGGCATCAAAGGGAGGGGCTCAGGCTTTAGGGTTTGGGGCTTAGGTCTTAGGGTTTTGGGTTTAGGGTTAAGGGTTTACGGGGTGGCTTGCGCATGTACCTTATTATGAAAAACTGGGGCCCCAAAGTCCCTAAATAGGAAGTACTTTAAGGCCCAAGTATTCCCTATTCAGGTAAAGCCTAAACCCTAGACCCTAAACCCTAAACCCTAGACCCTAAACCCTAAACCCTAAACCCTAAACCCTAAACCCTAAACCCTAAATCCTAAACCCTAAACCCTAAACCCTAGACCCTGACAGGGTTAGACACCTTGCTGCCATGCTCAGGGCGCTGCACTTCGCGGTGCGGCATCAGCAGGCAGCTCGGGCCGCGTTTCGGTTGAAGATTGAAGGA